AATTATTTAAATACTTACCTATTAATAATAAAATGATTTTATGTTTCAGAAATTATTATTCGTTCCTGTACATAATTTATTGATCAGTGAATAATGTGACTACCGATAGTGCACCACGGGACATTTTTTAACCCACCACTTATATTTAAGTACAAAATGTATTTTTTTTTTTTTTTCAAAGTAACTCTATGTTAGATAACTAATAAAAAGTCTTTATTAACAAAACCAACTGTTTATACCTAAAATATCTTTTTATGTGCCGTATGGGATTTTTTGTGTCATTTATGTTGTGCTCCAAAGAGTTAACTATATATAACTATATATATATATTTGTAATAACACAAAAAAAAATTAAGCATTACTTACATTTTTCATTATACCACCAAATATCTGTGGCCACAGATCAGCCATAATTATTCCGGTAAACAAAAATGTAATGCCAAATAAAGATAATAAAAGTTGACACCAGAAACCACAACATTCTGAATCTTTGTGTTCATCTTTTACTCTGATCAAACTTCTGAAAAAACAAAAAATGATTAAAAATTTATAGCAAATACCTAAAATATGAAAAGAAAAATTGTAAAAACAAATATACTAGAATAATTGTAATATAATAATTTTGAATTATATTTGCATTAATAAACTTGAATATCTATTTATTTTAACTATATGATAAATGGAAAATTTAAGAAAAACTTATTTTAAACTAAATATTTTAACTTACCCATTTAGTCTACATATTATACAAACATATAGTTTAGTTATAGTCATTATTATTATAGATAATAACTAATTAACCAAATTTAATGAACAATTAATGACCATGTGATGCAGTCTTATAATTAAGTATAATATTTTAAAATTTAAAGATCTTAAGACCAAGAGGTTTTTTTCCGTACCTCAGAAATAATATAATATACTGACAAATTTATTAGTAGTATAAAATAATTAGATAAATATAACATGTTTTGATACTCTATAATTAATTAATGGAACTCAATACAACAACAATGTATCAATACTTCCTCGAGTAATAGAAATGCTTTCAATGTAAAAATTTACTAAAAATGTCAACATTTCCAAGGTCACAAAAGAATATCTCTGCTCACAATAACCATTTAATAAAAAAATGCATCACTTGCAATATCAACTAGAATATATTTTAAACTACACAACCCTTAAGATACGAAAAAAAAATAATAGTTGATTGACAAAGTATAGATGCACCAAAAAAAAAAAAAGTATAAAAAAATAAATAGAACTCACTGGACTTCCTCTTCGTCGTGACTCATTGTTAGATGATAAAGTTTTACCATTAGACAAAGAACGACCAGGGTCAAAAATAATTAAGTTACGCTTCAATACAAAAAAGTAAATTCTTTATTATACCAATATTATAGTTTTAAAAATCACATCGCACTTTTGTGGTTCAATAACAAGTTGATTGTCGAACAACGTACATAATTGTGTCCAACCAGAGTCAATAATCTATCGAACAGTCGCAATAGTTACATAAGATACAAAAAAAAAAAAATTAATAGTACAGGCATGTAACGAACGCGGCCGTCGTTGTAGTGGTGTTATCTGTTTTATGTTCCCGTAAGCTGTTATTGTCTGATATCAGTTTCCTTCTCTTCACTTGTGCACCGACTATATCCACTGATTATATTATAATCAGTGATGTAGTCTCATAAATAATCTTAAAAATACACCAATTGTCAGTAAAAAGGGTGAATAGGGTTAATTCTTACGCAGCCATTTTTTTTGTCCATGAGCCATAAGATAAGCTAACAAAATAGATATTCGAAATTAAAATCAATAAAATACAATTTAAGATTAATGTAGTCACTAATGTACCTGTAACAGTATAACAGATTTTTAAACTATATTTCCATGCGATAAAATTAAAATGTAAGCATAAAATATAAAAATATAACCTTTCATAATAAACGTGATAACAAGAAAATATTTATAGTATTTTTAATTTTTGTAGAAAAAAGGAAAAAATTCATTAATACTGTTTATAGCTATTAAGTTTATAATATAGCTAGTATACTCAGAGACGCTCGTAGGAGGGGGGGGAACGGGACCATTTTGCCCCAGGCCTCGTTGTTGGAATATTTTTTACGAGGCCCTCGCAAAGTCTTGATGTATAATAATTAATAATTAAGACTCTATTACATGCTGCGTGTCGGCAATCAGTCACGCGCGTGTAGTGACTTGTCCGATTACATTGAGCGATTAAATCATGAACAATATTCAATTCTGTTATGTAAGTATGTAATACAGTACATGCATTTAAACGAGCTTGATTGGTTAAGGTTTGGAGAAATACGTTTGCAAGAATTTTGTTATTCTCAGTGAGCATTTTGTTTATCATATCTTATTATTATGGTCAAAAGGCCCCCAAATTAATTTGCCCCCGGCCCCCGAAAAATCTTGGGACGGCCCTGAGTATACTTAGTATAATAATATATATTAAATAGTGCATATTATAAATAATTTTTAAAATAAATGTATTAAATGTATTAAGTACCTACATTTTTGTACATTATTACTGATTAAGTATTATAAATTATAATTTAATGAACATAAATAATAATGCACGATATCATATTTTAATATTTTGGATTAAATATAAAATTAGATACTTTATATAATCTGTGACACCAATGAGTCAAATACATGTTATTGAATATAACTCTCCCTAGATATGCATTTTTTTTACATTCTTTCAGTTCTTCAAACCTTGATCCATTTTTTAATATGGATAATGTTTTCTTAATACTTGAGTTTCTTAAGATCAAATATTTTAAACGTAGATTTGAAGTGAGATAGAAATTGTTTTTCCGCTGCTTTATATTTTTTCGATTTTATTTTTCTAAAATTTTATTTTCACAATTCATTTTATCTGCTTCCAATAAAAAGCAAACCGTACATTAACAAGAGTGCCTACAAGGAGGAGCAGGGGGGACAACTCCCTCTAGCTTTCCAGCAATTTAAAATAATTATATCCAAATTAAATATCCCAAAATCCCAAAAATTATAATTGGTACCAAGGTGTATTAATATTTATAGCTGGTTACGTTCAACAATGTGTGAGAATCGTTTATCCGGATTATGTATGTTAAGTTTACACAGAAAAAAATCGAAGAACTTCATTTAGCTGAAAAAGTTGTTGATGAGTTTGGGAAAAATAAAATAAAATTGCAATTTGTGTTCAATTAGTTAGTAAAAGTGTTTAATTAGTATAAAAATGTTTGATTATTAATAAAAAATAATGCTGTCCCCCCCCCCCGAATTTTCATCTGCAGGCACCCTTGTACATAAATGCTTATTTTCTGTTCCTGATTCATGAGTTGAACAATTTAAAAAGCCTTGTACAACCCAACCATAAAAAGTTCGACTTTCCGGAAAAACAGAAATTATAAAAATATGGTCTGGAAATCACAGGAATTCAGCACTAATAATAACACTATAGTATCTCTATAGAGACTAGCAAATTACTAGCAAACAGGAAAGAAATAACAATTAATTGGAAAATTGTATGACTGAGTACAACAATGAGAAGATTACGAGAATTTAATATTTAAAGAAAGTTAGCTTCAAATTTCTAAATCAGTGGTTTTAAATAGTATTTATTATATTTTCATATTTGTATTTCGTACACCTAAGTGATGACTAGTTGACTTCCTTATCAATGATTTAAAATTGTATATATTTTATTATTTTTTATTAACACACATTGTTAACCAAGCCTACTTTAATGTTGACAGTCCTAAGCCTGGAAAATGTTAGTAATTAAACAGGAACCTATTCGGCTATATCTAATTAAATACCTTTTTCAAACGGGAACCAATTCGGCACGTAGGGTTGGAGCTCGAGAACCAATTCGGTACCAGCCCAAGCCGTATGGTAAATAATTTTAATAACATTTGTATTTTTGGGGTGGAACTCGGATGCAGCTGTAGCCGAGCTGACGACACGCAACAAGTGTTTGCTATTATATGCGATGAAACTACCGACTGTCACACGTCGAACAATTTAATTTATCAATAAGATACCTATGTATATGATGGGGAAATCTATGAATGATTCATTCAATTTTTTTTGCCTATAAATCCATTTATGTAGTGGCGTAGATAGAATTTTTAAATGGGAGGACCTAAACACTTTTTTGAGCTGGTTAGGTATGAGAGGATTTCAGAGTTCACTCCTTCCACTATTAAGTTTATAAATGTATTTCCAGAATTTTAAAATACTTTTAATAATATTTATTAAAATATAATTTATCATCATCATCATCATCATCATGTGGCTTCATGACTCTGTAAGAATTTTCGCCACCTCTGTAAATGCTCTCCAACTTCCGCGATCCTGGACCAGTTCTTCCCTGTTCGTAATTTCCAGTCTCTCTAGGTCTTGTCTTATCCCATCTATCCAACGTTTTTTTGGCCTACCCCTTGGTCTCTTCCCTTCTGGTTGCCAATCCATGGTTGCTTTGGTTTTGTTTGTTACTTCTTTCCGTTTGACATGCCCAAACCATTTTAGCCTTTGTCCTTTTATAAAGTTAAAATATAATTTATAATAATAATAAATCAACAGTCATCAACTGCGGTAGCATCGCTGCGACATAATATAAAAACTATAGTGATTATAAAATAATATTGTTAGACGAGAGTCGCCACAACCTTCATGATAACCACCAAAAAGATAGTGATAATCATGGAAAAAGTACTACGTAAATAGTAGTATAATAGTATAGTACATGCACATAAACACGATTTATAAAAGGAAGGCCCCCTTAGTCACATTTTGGCTACGCTACTGCATTGATGTGAATGATATTATACTTAGAGATTCAAAACTAACAGGGAAAAAAAAATAAAGAAATACGGGTATTAATTACATTACCATTCTAAAGCCATATTTCAATCGAACTTTATTTAAAGAAGTTGTTATTAGTCATAAAATCTGTAAGTAATTATAATTTTTCTTTTTTTTTTGTAGCATGAAACTACATAAGAAACATCATGACATTAAATGCTCTTTAGTTGTAAGATGTTTTATTATTTAGGAGTAACTAGGGGCATTATAATACTTACATAGTATAATTAATACTTGTTTTATACTTAAAATAATACAATTTTAGAAACATTCAAAATAGCACTTTTATCGTGCCTTATAATTTAATTTATACTTTTTGTGTATAAAAATTAAAATGAATTTAACATATGTATTGTATCTAATGTTTTCAATTATGGGAGGTATAAAATTAAGAAATTATGTGGGTGAATTACTTCACAAACATTTTACGTAACACCAAATATGTTAATTAATTAATGACTATTTCATTAGGAACACATTTTTTCTTCATATTTTTCCCTAAGATAGCTATGATAGGTCCAACATTAGATTTTCTGCAAAATGAAACAGTTGCCACAAAAAAAAAAAAATAATAATATAAAATCAAAACTTAATACACAATTTTTAATTAAAAAACATAATATTGTATAGATCAAGAAAAAACTTTCGATATAATAAGTGGCCACATAATATTATTATTTACTGTATTATTATAACAGTAAAGTTCAAGACTGCTCTCAAGTTACGCATTTTTACGGTACTTGCTTTTTAAATAAAAGTAAAAATAGCAAAAATTTACGGTAGTACAGAAAAATATATAAATAAACTTACGAGCAAGTTAAAAACGCCTTTATCTGAGTCTAGAGTAACTGCCAATAAAATATGGATATTAAAATACAGAAAAGAAAATATTATTATTTATAAAAAAAAATAAAAACTTACTCATGTAATAAATAAAAATTTATAATTTTGTATTTAATTCACTATCAACATTATTATATATCTGTATTAATCGTATAATTTTACTGTATATTCAGTGCCGGATTTAACTATTGTGCCACATTAAGCATTAAACAAATTGCCGACTTTTAATATAAATATTTTTCTAGTCTAAAAAATGTTATTAAAGCATACAATTATAGTTGTTTCTTTTATTACTTAAAATTTTAATAATGTAAAATAAATATATACAACTGTTATATTAGTATATTAGAGTATCTGAAAAATATACACGAAATTACGGAAAAATACAAGCTACAAGCTGATAATAATATCCCGACTTGACGTAAGAAAGATAAAATATCTTATTATTACGACTTTTCATTACGGATAAAAATGATATAGAACTTGATTTTGGTTTGATAATCTTATAATTTGTAATAACCATACACTGTAAAATGTACATCTAGCTTAAAAGTATTGTTCGAATCATCCGTGTGTCTGTACATATCCATATATATCAATCACAATGAGCAAGAATGTATCATTCATGTTGAGTGAAAAAGGCAAATAACTGCTAGTTTTAAATGATTTTAAATTTTTTAAACATCATATATCTAAAAAAAATGACAATGTGGCGTGTTATATTATTTTTTTTACCTAGTTTTTACCGTGTAGAAACTTACATATGTACCTTTTTCTATCGTGTAGGAACTAACGTAGGTACGTATTTTTTGTACCTACTACTCTCGTGTAGGAACTTACATTCGCGCACGTGAAGGACCAGTCGTAATAACAAGATATTCTCGGGTCTGTACAATTATAATAAAATGCACGGCCGAAAATTTGTAGGTAGGCAACTGACTGCGCCTGAATATTAGTTGTACGCAGGGTCGTTCCGAAGATGAAAATCAAGGGGGGGGTGAATAATATGAAAAATGTCGACTACAATTTTTTTACTCAATGTATGTAGTATAATTAACTATATGTAGTCGTATTTTTACTTTTTAACATGTATATATGTCAGTGTCGCACGTTCTTAAAATTGACAATTTAATTATATATACAATAATATTTTATATTGTATAATAAGTAGTTATATAAATTTTATTCGTGTATACACTGTATTACGAAAAAGGTAATATTTATTTTCCGTAAGTAAAATTAGGTCCTTCTGGACTATAATGAAACAAGTCCGACTGCCGACTGGTATTTTTGTTGGTGGGGGGTGAGACCCCTCCCAATACCCACCTTCGGAACGGCCCTGGATGTACGGATTTGGCATGCGGTGATAGTGATGATGGATTGTGTACCGACGGAGGAAATAGAATTAACGTTAGATTTATACACGGGATTTAGTACATTGAATTTAGTAATTTGGTGGTCGGTTAGGTTTGATGCAATGATCACAGGTTTGGATAATATTTATTAATACTTAATACGTGACGATTCCAGTTGACTACGGCAATTAGACAACTTGGGCGATCATTCACTCAACTCAGCAAGTTGGTACGGACGTGAATTCAAAATATCTAATGGAGGGGGGAATCAATTATCAAAAGACATTATTAGGGTTTATTATTTAAAAATTTGTTTTTATTAGGATAATGATAATTGAGACAAGTTTACCACGAAGTTATTTTTTTAAGTAGTAGACCAAAATTGAAAATATTACTTAATAGTGCCCTAAACAGTGGCGGCGAACACGTACTCCAGCATGTAGTTCAATTTAACTACCAAGAAAATTGTAATGTTAAAAATAAAAAATAAAAATGATCATTAAACAATTTAAATTAATTGTTTTATATATTACTTGACAAGTATTTTCTATTTGAAATAGTATACTTAATAATTAAATATAATATAACATCTCCAAATGTTTAGGTATTAGAAGGGATGGTTAAATAAATCTAATTATTTGAACTGGCAGTTTCAATTTAATCAGGTGCCACTGGCCCTAAACCATTGTTATTTTTTAATCTATTTTAGTTCCTCCAGTAAACTTATATAAATAATTAACTTACATTTTTGTTATAATAAATAAACAAAATAATTTTTAAATATATTTAGGTAGCTCAAGATTTTCTTTAATTGCTTATAGAATATTTAATTACATAACTTTTTGTACATTTAAACTACATTTTCTACAATTAATTTTTAATGATAAATTCCAATCAAATATACATCTTAAAATAAAGTTATTTTATTATATCTTATGGTTAGATAGCAGAAGAATTATCATGTTCGAAAAGAATGTTACGAATCTTATATGGATCAATGTTTAATCCAGAAATACAGACGTACGAAAGAATATGTAATGAAAATATAAATGTGCTTTATAATAAGTCAGACACACTCTCCTTTGTTCGGAGAAAACTAGAATGGTTCAGACATGTATGGAGAGCAGATGAGCAGATAATTTAAAATATAATAACCAATAAAATAAATAAAACAACACTCCTAGAATGACCCAAAACCCGATGGATTGACGTGGTTGCCAAAGATCTAAAAATGATAGACCAGAATTCAATCTTACATCCAGCATATCAGAGAAGAGATGGAGAGATTTTGATGGTGGCACTGGTCCAGAATAGACCAATAAGCTGGTGAAGAAGAAAATGGTTCTCAAATAATTTGAGAAAAAAATTATTGTAATTATTGAAAATAGTAGTTTTCTTTTACTTTTAGAGAAATGTTGAATTACTTTTTCTATATTGGAGTCTATATCCCTATGAATGCAATTAGAATGTAACGTGAACTGCCTAAGACATCACAACTTGATATTACAGAAATATTAATAGAATATGCTGAAAACCAAGATCATATTCACAAAATATTATATGTTTAATATAGAAATATGTTATAAAAATAATTTAATGTTTTTCTAATGTAAGTTTTGATATCCTATTGAAGATAGAGTTTAATATTGTAATAAATATATTAAACTACTTATTAAAATAATTTTCACCACTTTTTTTTTTTTGAGATTTTTTGTTGCCCTAGAATCATGCGGTAACATTTCGGTTTCGATGAATGGAAAAATCATATTAATTCAAAATCCATTTCGATAATTTAAAAAAATTATACAATTTGTAGTATTACTAGCCATAAGGTGGGAGAGTTTCAAAAAAAATATTTAAAAATTTTTAATATATATATAAAAATTCAAAGTAGCACGGCGATTTTGACACATAATTTACTCTTATTAACGTAAACATCTGTTAAATATATATATAAATAAATAAAAAGTGTAAGAGTCTTATTTTAAAATTTTACTCAAAATATAAAAAGAAGTTGATCTATTTAAAATGTGTTTTTGATAGATTTGATTTAAAACTAAATTAGTGGTGAAATAACACATTCATGACTGGGTACAAAATATAAAATTTATATCTACTAGAATCACAGAAATGCACTCCAACCAATATACATTTGACATAAATTATCAACAGAAATTGCTTCTTCAATAAGTTTACGAGTTTGTCCAGCAACTGAAAGTGGCATAGAAGAATTTTTTAAATTTGATCTTACAAATCCTTGAAGTCTCATTTCAATATTATTCAAATGTTCTTTAGCCTAGGAAAATATAAAAATATTTTTTATTAATGTTTACCTAAACAAAAATTAATAAATAATATTTTTACACATACTTGATCATTTGTCATCTCAGAATTTTCATCAGCTTTAGTGTCACGTCCAGTCCACATAACCAAAGGATCATATAAAAATGGCTTAAGTACACTAACCAACTGTTCAGTATGAGATCGCATAACCCGATTAGTTATTTTACAAGCACTAGATAACATTCCTTCAAGTCCTCCTGTTCCCATTGCATCTACCATATTATGAGTCATACGAAAAGGCACACGCTCAGGCCATTCAAATTTTTCACCCTGTTGAATATAAAAATATGTGTAACATAACATTATTTTTTTTTAATTTTTGTTTATAATTGTTTATAATTTGTAATATAATTTGTATTACTCGGTTAAACAAGCAGTTGAAATCCACATGAACAACACCCCCATTAGTTGAATCTAACAAAATATTTTCACCGTGGCGATCACCAAGACCCAGAATATATCCAACTATAGATATGACAGCAGTTGTTCTAGTAAATTCACTTCTAGCTATATACCTAAATAATAATAAGTAAAAGTATACACATAATAAAGTCATTGTTTAAAGTTAAAAGAAATTCTATAACCATTCTCCTGGACTTGGAAATTCTTTAAGATACCAGTTTCTAAAAACAGGTGGATGTTTTGGAATTGCTTTATTCACAAAAATTGATCTCTTTTTTTCCAAAGAATCTTTGATATCTAAAACAAATAAAAATTGTTTATTATACCACATAAAAAAATTAATTTAAATAAAAATTAGACTTACTGCAAAGAAGTCCTTGTAAAGTACTTTTTGATACTTTAATTCCAATTGCCTCATAGCAATTTAAAATTACACTTCTCATAGTGACAACATTCTGAACCAACTCAATGAGGCCACAATCCAGTATCATAGGTACCACACTCTATAATTTATTAATATATACATATTAAAAACAAATAAGTAATTACACATAGGCAGCACATTTCTTTGTTGACTATTAACATATTTATAATACAATTAACAATGATTAGTAGTAAATAAAGAATAAAAATTAAGTATAAATAAATGCAGGATTTTGATATATAGTTGATCTGCTAAGCATACTGTGAAAATAATACTTTTAAAAATACAAATTTGTAGCTAAATACTGATATGATTCTTAAATAGTTAAACTATTTAAATTTCAGCATTAATATAAACAAAAAAATATCAAAAGTAAAATAAGTAATTGTATTTATCAATTTCATTGAAGAAAAACATCGACCTATTTTTTTATAGAAATTATGAGAAAAATAAATAAATTACACTTTTTCTAAGATATTTTACTGAAAAAATAAATAAAACATATAAATAAATTTGGTTTTTTTTTTTTTTTGATAAAACATATTACTGAATAATACAAAATTAATTAAATCACATTATCTTTATTTAAAATCCATAGAACTTTTGAACTTAATGCTTATGTGAAAACTAATAAATACTTACATAAGTTTTTATATAAAGATTTCGATCTCTTGCCTCTGGATCCCTTTTTAAATACATATTAACAATATTATTAAACTCCATTAATCTTGAATCAATTCTTATGTCATCCTAATAATTGAATAACAACAATTTAAACGTTTTCAAATTTATGTTTTGTGTAAACATTATAATTAATTACTTTAGGTTTACACATCATTGGGTATTCTTTACCATCAGAACCTATAATTATAATACGTTTTGGTTTTTGAAGTGAACTATATATATAAACTTCATCCTTGATTCCATGGATGTATACAAGATCACTAAAATATCAAAAGAAAAATTAAAAAAATGAGTCCACTATAATTTAAATTATAATTAATAATATCATACTCAGGAAATGGATTATGTTTATTATTACGATTAGTATTGATACGTGGTAATACTAAAGTACGAAATTTTTGAGCAGGTACCATAATATTGCTAAAATAACCATTTGTTAATAAACGTGGTAGAGATTTTGCAATTTTCTGCAGTGGAAATTTAATTCCAACAGGAGCATTTTGAGGGCTTGTATCACATAATTTTGATAAATCTTCAAATAGTTCCATAAATTGGAGTAATAAAGTTTTTACTTTAGTTAACTTTGTATGTTTGAGAATCACATTGAATCTATTTACTCTTACATTAAATGCAGACTAATAAAATGTTGAAAACACAATAAAATTAATATTTTATTAATAATAAAAATATAAAATATAATTAATACTTTATGTAAAGTCATGAGCATCCATAGTGAGTGATTTGGATAATCAAGTATACATTTAACAATGATATCAGTTAAAGTTTTAAAGCATTCTTCTAATGGATGACATATTCTTGATGTTATTTGTGAAAATGCTGTGAGGAACATAAATGTTGGTAATCGTAACACAAAACCTTCTAAAATCATAAATCAAAGTTAAATGGTCAATAAGAAAAAAAATATTTGTTACTTTTTTAGAACTTACCAATAATTTTAGTCATTTTTATAAATGTCCTTTTTCTTTCCGTCAAATACAATGATGTTTTATTATTTTTCTTTTTCAAATCTCTATTGAAGTCACTTCCAAAATCCAACCAAACACTTAACATTTTTGGCATTGACTGGTATATGTACTCACAACCATATTGCAATGATAAACCATAGCAATTTATTATGTTGTTAATTAAATTCCTTAAATATTTCAAGTTGATGGAATTAATAAACAAATATTTTTAGATAAATTATTAAATAAAAATTCCAGAAATATTTAATAATTACAATCCTTTTGTGTAGTATGTAGAAGGAGTCATGGTGTTAAGAATACGATCTTGATAATGTGCAAACATCACAAGACTTTTTTCCCACATCCCAAACATTTCATATGCCTTCTCAATGTTCAATGAATTTGATTCCAAATCAACATTGACGGTTTTATCATTATATTTAGACAATAATAATAAAGCCTGAAAATTATACTTTAAAATATTATAAACATCCATAATATATCCTGTTAAAAATTAAGTCTTCTTATAGCAAAAAATACTTTTATAATATAAGAAAAAATTATTAATTATGCATTTAAACTTACAGAAGCACAAGTTTTTCGTTCTTCTAGTTTTTCATCACAAGGTAAAGTTTTAATTATGTCTAAATTTGGAAAAAGCATATTTATTCCTTTTTTCAAAGTTGCAATTGCTTGTCCTTGATCAGATTTCTTCCATAATAATTTAGCTTTTTCAATAAACAATCCAGTAGGCCTATACTTTTCGGCTGCTAATATGTTTGAATATGCTTGTTGAAAATTTAATGATCTAAAACAATTATAACTTAATATTTATTTTCCATAATTTATGATTGAATTATTATTAATTTACTTTCTTGCAACTTTAATACTCTTTAACCAACTGATACCAATTTGATGGTTCATAATAGGTTTCAGTTCATCACTAACTAAATGTTGAGCAGCAGTTAATACAACTCGACGCATACATAGAACTTGCTGTAGAACATATGCCTGTGGTTGCAAACACTGTAATCTTTCATCCATTTCACTAGTGATGAACTCTTTCAATTGAACTTTAGCATAAGTATCTCCATCAACAATATTTAGTATAGTAATAAATATTTGTTCCATTTCGTTTAAAATATGCAATCTAAGATCAATTTAACACAATTTTAGTACATAATAAAAAAATAAAAAAATATATGTACATATTTTATATATTAAAAAAAACATACTTAACAATATATGGATATGCTTCTTTGTATCCAGCAGATCCAACCATTGACATGTATAAAGATTCAGTGACCAAATTTGTAATGGAAGAAATCTCTTTACGAACACTATTTTTATCTTTGTGTAAAAAGTATACTAAAGCTTGGCCAATACAAACGCCCCAACTTTCACTGGCATTTAATGGTTTTTCAGTTAACAATTCTTTTAATTGGTCAAACATCATAAGACTCCACGTTGCTTCAGCTTTTTCACCAAATAATGTATATTTACTATCTGGTCTAAATTTTGATTTTTAATAATTTAGTTGACATAGGTAATTAAAATCTCAAATAAATACATTACTTGATATTTGTTAACCCTTCAGCGATTTTTAATGCTGTGAATGGTTGATCGATAGCTAGATAGCATTTAACCATGCCTTTATGAAATTCCAAACTAGGATCAGAATACATTTGTGCTAATTTTTCATAACAAGCAGCGGCATCCTAAAACAGGATAGATTAAATGTAAAAAATGTAAATGTATGTAATAACTTTTAACTTTGTACACTTTATGATAAAAATATTTATTTGATATAACACTAATTTTTGTAGGTCACATCTCACATTAATCAATTATACTGCTGCATATGAATAGTTTAGTTAAATCTGTAGTTTTAATTACAACATAAAACCAACAAATTATATTTTATGAAATTTAGTATTTATTGTGATTAATCAATAGTATTAATATTGTTAGAAATAAAAATAATTTTGAATTAATTAGTATTAAAATTTTACTTGTAGTTGGCCATTAACTTCATGTAAAAGAATCATTTCTTGAGGTGAGGGATCATTATTATGAACAGCAATAATGCCTTCGAGACTATCAGCATCATTAAGTTTAGAATAAATTTGCTACAATGTTATAAAATAAAAACTATTAAAGATAACTTTACATGTGTTAATCAAATATAAACATACAGATAAAGTAGGAAGATGATCTTGTAGTTTTTCTTTATCATCATGAATGTAATCTTCAAGATACAAAAGTGCTCTAGCATATTCATCATACTCTAATGATTTTTCGGCCAACTTTAATTTAGAAAATCGTGTTAGAAAATCTAAATAAATACTAATTTAAGTTACCAACAGTTGTAAAATAATCATATTGTTAAATAATCTTACTCATTACAGGTTCACAGATAGTGTTTTTAGATGCTTTTTGTTCTCGGGTCCATTTAAATAAAAAGTCGAGTAATGTGAATGCTGTTTTAACATACATTACACGAGTAGTAGTTTCATTTTGTGGTTCTAAAGAATCTGTAATTTCATATTCGAGAGCAATCTGTCTACCAGCAATAATATCTGTATCTATTTCTGGGATATTTGTATTGTTTGTTACTGTATCATCAATTTCATTATTAATAACAGCTAGAAGTTCTTCATATATTAAATTACAGTCAACAGAATTAGCACTTAATATTGCATAAACTAAAAAAAAAAACAAAAAAATGTTAAAAAAAAAATACCTTCAAAGAAAATAATATTATAATATTAAGACTTACGTAAAACATATGGTAAAAATAAAAGCATAGCATCATTATCTGATCGAATACTTGACTTGCAATAAATGAAAATACACTTAGCTTTTTCATCATTAATTAAAGGAACAAGGCGATTAACCCAATTATAAGCCCATGAATTTAATGTACCACTTTTTCCAGACCTACAGTATGAATATAAACATTTTTTTTTATAATTTTATAAAAAAAAAATATACATTAACATTGAATAGGTACCCAAATATTGGATGTGGTATTCCTGTTTGATGTTGTTCAGTTTCTAGAGTATACCGTGATGAAGACAAAGGATCAATAATTTCATGCAATATACTTGGAATAGATAACCAGATTTCTGAGTCTTTCTTTACATTATAAACTTGCAGAATTTGCTAAAAAGATTAATTTATTCATTATTTAATAAAATATTAATATTATAACTTAAAAGTTTTACTTGTATTGCAACCGCAAAAGAATCCATGTATCGAGAATTCCTTGCAGATTGTAAACCTTGTCCTAATACAATTAATGCACGTACAGCAAAATCATTACTTTTAATGTCTAATGGAAATTCTTTTTTTCGTCCTAAAATAGTAATTTATTATAATTAAGTTATTATTTTATAGTTAATATATAATAGTTTTATACAAAAATTATTAATTATAGTAACAATAAGTTAATGAAAAATTATACACATATATAATTTAGTATAATATGATTAGGTGTATTTTTGTCAAACAAATATTCAGAAAATATACCTTCTTTCATGACATTATTCGGCAAATAGCTGGGATCTAATGCTCCAATTTTTCCTAAGCATTCACTACTAGCAAGTCTAATTCTTTTATCTGGATGCCGTAAGTTTTCAGTTAGAACTTCTAATAACTAATCAAAACAAATGTTTATTAAATTATGTGTATTACGTTTACAAATAAGTTGTACATAATACATATATTACATATATACCTTAATAATAATAGAGTTGACATTATCGCTGGACAGTATCAATTTAGTTACTTCAAATTGTTGAATTGAAAGTTCTAAATATAATCGTTTTAACCCATGCAGCTTAACTTCCAATGTTTTATGAGCCACTATGTCCAATAACCAAATGAGTAATTTATTTAGTGGTTGTTTACTAAAAATATTATAAAATCATAAAATAATATAAGATAATACATTTTTAATAAGAAAACATACAAAATATCTTTGGTGTATTGTTGAACTATATCAAATACTATAGGATTAGCTGGATGTGGCTCCAAGAAATATAACTCAGCTATATGACTTTTAAGATATCGCTCGTTTTCTTTTACCGTGAAATAAAAAATATTGGCTATTTTATTAGGATATATATCTATAAGTGGCATAAGAGACACAAATATAGTACTTAACATTGGTCCTAATGCTTCCATATCAACACTAAAAATAATTTTAATATTAAAAAAATAGAAAATGAACCACAAATATTAATAACAATAACATACCAATGAATAAATGAATCCCAGGCTTTTAATCCTAAGTAAACAAAAGAGCTGTTTTTTAAGGATATAGCTGTACGTAATATAGCCAAAATTTTGAACCTTGCTGGAGTAACAAAATTACTACCCATTAATTTTAAAATGTCACTCAACGACAGTAAAATATTTTCCTTAATAGAATCAGGTGAATTTTTCACCAATCTTGATTCTAAAATCATTAAAAGACCTAAAAATCTGGGTGAAAGAAAGTCTGCCTAGAAATGTACAACAAAAAAATGTTATATATAAACAGCATAAAACAAATATGTAAGGTGATTAATTAGTTACTAATAGTATTTTATCAACTTAATTGTACATTTTATTTAAATTACAACAGTTTTCTCGTTGACCAATAAAATTGAATTAAGAAAATAAAATAAACTAAACAATTCTAATTATAGTGAAAAATAAAAATATAATTATCATTGAACCTTTCAATTAAAAAAAAATCTTCTTTTGCTGTTACACGCGGGAGCAATTTTTATTCAGTCATCCCTTAATATTACTTAAATACAAATACAGTTAAATAAACATTTACTTACAAAATTGTTAATAGAACTATCATTTTGTACATTAAATAAGACATCATAGGTTTGTATTATCTTAATAGCTTCTATAGCTTGATCGTATTTTAAATGGAAGTACGTAAGTATTTCAGCTATGATTGGCTTTAAAATTATTAATAATAGGTATATTACTCAATTTAAAAATAAAATAATTTTTGTTACCGTAAAAGAAAGTCTGACCAAATGCACTAAGGAAGAGTTGGTTATTTCTTCTAAAAGCTGACAGCCCTTTTTGCAAATATCTTTATTTTCAGAAAGTAGTAAGTGGGAAAAACAGTACTAGTATTAAAATAAAATATTAATAATTTAGAATAAAAATTTATGAATGTATTACATACTTTAAATGATTCCTTAACTAGAGCACTTTCATTTTTTTGAGCTAATGAAGCAATTTCACTTATTATTTTCCTAATTGTTGGTTTTTTAATACACCAAGGAAATATATACTTGATAATTTGCTTTATCGCATACATATCTTTATGTGTAAAACCTAATTTATTGTAAGTTTTTTTTATATCAATATTGGGTTGATAAGTATCATAACATGCAACCAGATTATTAGCTATATACTGCATTAATTCAGTTTCATAACGATCAAATATTACTAAAAATTTTGTTTTATGTGCTGCAGCTATTTCAGTCATATAAAATTTTGCAACAGTACTATATGACGAATTTGGATGTATTAAAAATAGAAACATGAATTCCATTGATGGAAGTATAGTCAAATCTATTGGAACACTGAAAATAACAATAACATAAACACATTTATAATTGTTTTAAGAATATTAATTTAAAAAAATAGACCTTAAAAAAATGTACCTCACATTTAGAATTATAAATGTATATAATGTATAAATCAGAAAGAATAAATTAGAGGATATATATGTATATATAACAAATAAGGTGGACAGAGAGAAAAAAAGAAACAAAAAACAAGAAAAATGACAAATATTATAATCTGGTGATAATAGAATATAATGATGCACATCTTCAATTTAGTGAAAATTGCCTCTAACTATAATATGTAATTTAAGAAATAAAATTACCAAGATCAAGAATTCATAAAAAAAATTATAGTTAGACAATTATGCTAAACTAAGAAGAATTGCAGAAGTCAGTGAGAAGTGAAGAATGAAGCCCAATGTTGTGAACCAATATAATAATTATAAAAAAATATAGAGTCAACAGAATTTATTAACTGCTTCTTTCACAAAATACAATGCTAAAATATTACAACTTAAAGATTTATGTTTTTAAAACTTACCAACCAATATTGAAAATAGTTTCTAAGGATGTGTATTGAAGCTCTTTATTTCCAGATTTAAGACTGTTATTTACAGCTGAACAAAGAGTGTTTAATATTTTAGTGAAATATGCGGATTCAACCATTTGAATATTTCCTGTTAAATTTTTTTCAAAAATTATAGAATTTAAAATTTTTGAACACTGGATGCGCACTTCTTCATCTTTGTCATTAATTAACATCAACATTTGGTTTTTAAAATAACTGTCTGGGTAAAAATGATTTGTTATCATTGGTATATTTTTAATCACTTCACATCTTATAACTGTATTGGGATTATTCACCAACGATAAAAGTAATATTTTCCAAAATTCATTTAAATTTCTTTTGTATGTATCATCTATTACATATGATTGTTGTAAATCTGTCTTTATCATATTTTGTTCACATTCAATACAAAATAATTCTTCTTGGCCAATAATTTTATTATTTTGATAAATAGTTTTACCATACATAGTACACATGAGTATTCGAAAATATTTAACAAATAAAATATTTTTTATCTCATCAAAATGTTTAATTGTTTCAAATACAATAGAAATATTTTTATTTGGTTTTTTATAAAATAAAAATGGAAGATTTCGGATTGCTGTTTCACATAAATCTGAATTATTAAGTGATGTAATAATAATTTTTTCTAAGAAATTATAACAAATATCACTTTTTATTTGACTTATATAAGCAAGACACATTTTAACTATATTTATGTCATCTGAAAATAAATATTTAATGATGATTTTATTTTAAAAATTATTTTGTATATTATAATACAAAATTACTTACTAAATACAGTAGAATTATTTTTCAAAATAATATTTAAATATTTGTATAGTGGCAAATTGTTAAACATATTATTAGAAATATCCATCCAGGGAAGTGAAAGTATGGCAATTAATGTTTGAACATCATTGATCGGAAATAATAAAAATTCTTTTAAGCAAACTAGACTACCACATGTTGAAATTAATATTTCAACATTAAAGTGATCATTATGATTTACTAGATAAATCATCAGTTTATTTAACAATTTATCAATATTTAGTTTTGGTAAAAATTGATAATTTTTGTCAATAAAAGTGATTTCTAATTTATGGGCAAGACATGTAGTAGTATTGATGGTATGAAATTCTTCCATAGTAAGATTTTCAGTTGGAGATAAAATAATTTGCTGTAGATTTTTCCAAAATTGAAACCAAATTGAACTATTTATTGTCATATTAATAGAGTTGCTTCTGAAATTTAAAATAACTGTATATAAATAAAAATTAATATTATTTATAAGTGGCATAATATTAAAAGGCAATAAATCATTTTTTTTTCATTTTACAGAAAAGCAAAATAGTTAAATTAAAAAAACAATTGTATAAGTATATAATTTCGTTCCTTATGTATAGGGCAGAGGACTTGTAGCTCTAAAAAAGCTCTAAATATGCAAGCACTTATGCACTTAAAAACCTTATAGTATGCTCTTAAAATATACACTTAAAATTTTTTTTAGCCTTTTTATTTTAAAGTATTAATAAAATAAATAGCATTAAAAAAAAAGCAAAACAATTACATAATTTAAATATATTATATACCATAGCCAAATAAACAAAATACATTTTACTTAATTTTCTCTAAAAAAACGATGTTAGATCGTTATCACTTCTAGGAAAAATGTGTGCTCGCAGACAGTCAAAAACCATATTATACGACAAAAATTAAAAATAAATACATTTTTATCCAAATATTTTGACTGTATTGTTTGAAATAAAAATTTCACTTTGGAAAAAATCAATTTAAGTTAAATATGCCTTAAAAATATAAAATAGCATATAAAAGTATAAAATATGACCTAAAAACAAAAAGGACTCAAAATATGCAAAATAAAATTTCAAAACTAGCTTTGTGAAAGCATGAAACGTATTTGTTTTGTATTCTGCTATTTTTGTGACTGTGCATAACAAATATGCAAATGCTTCAAGTCCTCTGTCCTACTTATGTATAATTTTATATATATTCATTAAAAATACAATGTAATTTGATAAATAAATTTTAGAATACTTCCAAAAAGAAAAACACTATTTAAAAAAAAGTATTTCTCTTTTTCTTTTTAACTGCCAGTTCTATTTAAAATTTCCTTAAAAAAAAAATAAAAAAAAATATTATTTCTCCATAAAAAAATATAATTACTGCCTTTTAAATTGAACACCGACAATAGCATTAATATGTATCAGTATGAATTGAAACTAACTTTTCATCAAAAAATAAGTTTTCATTAATTATTTCTTCTTCTACCATTTTTTTACAATTTTTTATTTCTTGTGAAATAAAATATTCAAACAGCACATTTGTTCCCTGGTCATTAAAATAAATATTCCTTAATTAAATACATTTAATTATATTATAATATAACTATATTATAGAAGTTTGATAAGAATAGGAATTTAAATAAAAATGTTAATACAATATATTAATAGTTTATTTTTAACAATAAATTATATTATTTTAATAATTTACCTATAAGAAAATTGTATAATACAAATATATGATTTATTTATATTTTGAACATGAAGGATTTTAACAAAGAAATTATTTAGTAATAATACTTATAACATATTATACTTTTATGTATATTTTTTTTATGTTAGTATGTTTTTAACTCAATTTCTCTACATCAATTTTGAAGGGTTTTTGTGAATATTAACAATTTATGGAAAAAATCAGAGGGTTTGAATGATTTACAAGGTGGAAGCTAAGAAGTTAGGAGGTAATTTTACATTTGAGATTCTTTGGAGTTATAGTTCAAGCAAAGAAAATGATTTTATATGTAAAAAGTTGCATTTATAATTATGTGTTATGTTATTGATTAGATGACTACAAGTATAAGTTACAAGTAAGTATTAGTACAATAATGGAAGATTTTATAAGTTCATTAAATTATTTTTATATAAAAATAAAATGAACAAATGAGTTTTTAATTTACAACATTTAATAAATACTTACAGATGGAGTTGATAAATGCATTAATTGATTTATGGGTAGCTTTTCTAAAATTATGTTGGGCTTTATAATATGATCTTCTAGTAATGTAATAATTAAATTGCACATTGCTTCAGAAAATTGTTTTGTCACTATTAAGAAAATTTAATTAAATTATCATTTAAAATAATGTTATATAAAAACCTAATTCCATTAGAATGATTAACAAATACCTATTGCATTTTATGTAAGTAGTACATATTAAAGGAATGTAATAAATAATATGTAATCTGTATTATTTTCACAACTTTCAGTTTATTGAGTGATATAAAAATTCAATGTATAAGGTTATTTATAAAGTTAACTATCCAAAAAAAGTTTAAATTATTCAATTATATTATGATCAAATACTCCTGTACACAATAAATACATCACATTCATTATAGTTTTAATGGCTAGATATATGAAGTGGCTATGTTTAAATGCATTGATTCTGGTCATTGACAGTTTATCTTTCTGGATGGTATTACAAATATTCCAAAATAAGTTACAATTAATATCTATCATGAAACACAACATGCAAATGGGACTAAAAGTTCTAGTTGTTATAATCACATTAAGAAATATCAGTATGAAACTATTACCTTTGATTATAACATCAGATAGGCAAAATAACAATAAATTATGTAGAGATAATAATATGAAGTAAAATTAGAAATTTGTATTTTGGAAATATTAATTCATAATGAAGAATTTTTTAACTCCTTCCTTAAAACAAATATAAACAAGTATAAACAAAACATGAATTTAATAATTCTTAATAATTTAAATTTGGTTAAATACTGTGAGTTAATTTGAAAGAAGATTAATGTAAAATAAATGCATATTTAACTATATAGACAATGTAGAAAAAAACAATTTATTCAATTAGATTAGAACAAAGGTTAGGTAATGATCAAAAGTTTTATATTTTTGAAAATAAATACTTTACAATTAATACAACACTATTAAAATAACATAATTAAACTAAATTGATTTGTTCTTATGATTTAATAAAATTAATATAATTAATACAATATTAAAATATTATATTATAGCAAAATTGTAAATTCAAGTATCGTTTCATTTTGTAGTCTGGTGAATGTAATGCTATCATAATCTCCAATTAGCAATCGATTCAAAAACAGAAGGAAAAAAAAAGAGATATTATATCAGTTCAGTACAAAACCATTTAGTATCTGAAGTTAGTGTTTTTTCCCTCGACATAACATTATTTTATACATATATAATCAATTATTTTAGTAGAAAATGTTTTGGTATTATTGTTCATTACTTATTTCAAACTATCACCAATAGGTTAATAATATTTAATTTATATAACTATAAGTATATTATAATAAAATACTACAATGTATTACCAGATCAAGGTAACTATTAAAAGTTGTTGTAATTAATTATTTCAGTATAAACATTTTAAGATATAAATACCTTTAATATTATTGGAAAGTATTAATTTTGAAATTAAATCTATTAAAGCCATGTTTATAGCTGCAATATGAATTGATCCCGCTTTGCGCATAGTTTCAAATATGTTACTTAAAATAATTGGTATCTCATTTGATTGTTCTATTTTAGAATTCAAACATACATTTTCAATAGTATTAAACAGAATTACATAAATATTTTCCAGTATCTAAAATAATACACAAAAGTAAACATAACATTTATAATTTACACTCAAATTATATATTAAACCAAACTATATAGTGTTTCTTACTTCAAAATATAATCTATGTGATGTTGACACCAATAAATGCAAAATTAAACGGAGTCCAGCTTGAGTAACTGTTATTGAATGTGAATTATCTATAGCTAATGTAATTGATTGCCAGAATTTTATGGCAGTATTTTTCTTTATCTGATTTAAGGTAAATATATTGCTAGAAAATAATTGAAACATTTGAGATAACAAATAAACATAAGTGTTATAATCATAAATAGAAATGTTGATGGGTGTAAAATCGAGTCCAGACAACTGAGTTCGAAAACTCTTTTCAGGATTACACCATGTAACAATAATTGGCCATGAATCATTGACAATATTTTCTGCCATTTCTATAAAAGTAAATCATAAAATAGATAAAAATTCAAAAAAATTATTTCATTAATTTGATTAATTACTTGTAATAAATTTAGAATAATCATTAATAGCACAATCATATATATACGTGTTTTGACATGAAAGTACTTCAAATAAACATGTTTGACTATGAATTGAATTACTATGTAATGGTGAAAACCCACTATGACCAAGAATTTTAACAAGTTGACCAATTATCCAAATAGTAAATTCTGTAAGTAAAAGCATTTAAAAAATAATATAAAACAAATTATAATTCATTCCCCTTCAATTAATTTCTTTAAAAATTGAATTAAAAAATAATTTTTTTTCTTCAAATGACAAAAGACATAAAATACTTAATACTTAATTGCTTCTAATAATGTTATAAATATAACATATTCAAATTAATTTATATTTGAATTTATAACAACAACTATATTTAAATTTATATTAATTTTTTATACAGATTAAAGCCCGATTCACACTGTTATGGCACAGCACAAACCAAACTTTTTCTTACATTTTTGAGTTCGCAGTTCTGATTTATTTTTAATTAAATGAAAAAATTTGAATTAATTAATTTAAGAAAAAAAAAGGTCCAAATGGTATTATACTAGTGTATTTTCTGTTGTTTTAATTTTTTTTTTTTTTTAAATATTAGGTCAAGAAGTGTATTTTATTTATATTATTTTAAGTTTTTGTAATAAAGTTTAAGAAGACAATTTTTTCAGATATTTTATTAAATCAAAGTATTTTTTATACTCAGTTATAAACAATTTAATCTAGATAATAAATTGTTATAATTTGTATGTGGTTTTACTTTCTTTTAATTCAAATAAATTTACTGCGTTAATAATAATAATTTCTGCGTTCACACTAAAGCAACATGAGCCGGCACGTATCGCACTGTCAAAACATTTGGATTATGTTTTGTCGGTTGGGTTCATACCGTAACAGTGTAAATCGGGCTTTATGGTTACTATTGAAGGTCAATAATTTATGTAACACTATAAAGAGTTCTATTTTTTGAAGAAAACTCAATAAATAGTTCAATAACTTTACATCAATCATTCAATTGATCTAGGTTTCTTCCGTATTTCATATTTCTATAAAGAAAATAACATATATAATGAATTATGTGATTATCTTCAATTAATAAATAGTGACAATAAATATTTATTTGTGTAGTTAAAAAATTAACAGTCCAAAAACTAAAATTTGAAATTATCACGATTGTAAGCAAAATCAAACTTAAATAATATAAATTTTGATAAGATCAAGGAATAGGTATAAAGTATTTTTACATTTATTACTCAAACTCAAATCTTAATCATGAAGTAAGATAATTATATATCAAGATATAAATAGTAGATATTCATTGTGGATAGACAAATAGATTTACATAGATAAATATTGGTTATAAAATTAAAAATATTTTAATAAAAACAAACCTTTATAATAATCAACACTATAAGCATTGTTTTTTATGTTTATAAATGGGCTAAATACTCCTTCTTGTTCACCCATTTTACTTAAAACTTCACGCATAATTTTAGCATGCTCTTCTAATGAATCTGCTTCTTCATCCATAATAAATGTAAACATGCTTTTGAATTTCCTCCAAAGATCAAAAGGAAATTTTTGATCAACAACATTGTCTACTTCCATTCTTTCCATATTTAATTCTGAAAAATGCAATTAATATATATTTAATTTATAAAAAAAGGATCATAAGAACGAACCTTTATTTTATCACTATATAAAATATACTAATCTATTTTCTTATTTAACCCATATATTATAGTATTCAATAAATATAATAATAATGAATTCAGTATTTAATTACACATATTTGCAAAACGAGTACCTAATTTGTAATTTGTTGATACTTAAAAGTCATAAATATTTTTTTAGTAAATTCTAAAATATTATCAATTAAAATTAAAGCTAAATAATTACAATAAAAAAATAATAAACTAAAAAATTTAACAATTTATAAACAAATTACAAGCTTACAAGAGAAATCTGAAATAATGTTAAATGATAAGCTAACAAGTATTTTGAAGCAAATATACATTACCTATACAATGTATGATATGAATACACGTGAAATTAAATCCCGCCAAAAAAATAATAGATAAGGAATACCAACTATACTCATCTTCGACCATATAAACTAAGTCTAATGGTTGAAGGCAAGGTGAATATATACGGTGGACCAGCTAACACCCTCCCATCAGTTTAGAGGGGTACGTCGTATTTACTACAAATGATAATCTCGACAGAGTGCGCCACAAATATAGATGAAATTATTATCTATATCCGTGGAATGCGATGTTTGCAATAGGTGTCCTGTTTTTATCATCAGCTGACCGAGCACCAGCTGACGGATGCATTTTATTTTTATGATTATTATTTATTAACGGCTATCGACGTACTTCAAATGAGTAAAAACAATAAATATTTTGTTCCTGGTTGTGATGTTGGGAATAAAAACATAGGAAAGAACATAAATCTTTATTCCCAATTTTAAGTATCCATCATATTTTACAGCTCTTAAAAATGAAGTAAATATATAAATATATATATTATGTAAAAGTATAATATTAAACGAAACGTGATAATTAAAATGTATAGGTTTTATTTGATGAATAGAGTAAATGTATTCCCAGAGCAGGCCGCCCTTTAAGTTGGACTGATTGAGTATGTGAACAACATTTTTTACAAACTTGTCATAAAACATTTTGATCTTACATACATTTTGATGGGGTAAAATCATTATTAGAAAGAGAGAGACCTATATAAATATCTACAGCTGTACCTATTATATTTCCTAATCTACCTAAATATTTAACAAAAACTATCACCAAACGCAAAGCACCAACAGTAAGAAATGTTTTACAAAAAAAAATTCAAAAAATATAAGTAAATATTTGTCAAAAAACTCAGGAGGTATGTATTCAATATTATTAAAAATTATTATTTAATTGTTTCTATACCTCAAACAGAGCTGCAATAAATACATATAATAAATGCTCATTGCTTTCACCTGAAAATTTTCACGAAGTAATACATTAACGACCAAAATTGCTTTGTTTATAGAAATACTAAATACTTTATAAATATTATAACACTTGCAGATACTCTATTGCATGACAAATCTTTGCTTTTCCCTATTATTTTCCCTGTAAATAATATAGGTTATGACATCAATAGAGATGCAAAGAATGTTAAATTACCAGGTACAATGTGGGGCATTCATTACAATATTAATACAATTATTTATTCCCATATAGAAAATTTGTACAATGATAAAATTGTTTGGTTTACTTCAACCATCTCTCAGGTAAATAAATATATTATTAATTTAATATGTTTCCTTATTATTTAAAGGACTTAAACAAAGTTTACTCATACCTTTTCAATAATAATACAAGTTTATGGTATATATAATAGCAGGCGGGTACACAAGGGGGGTAGGGGTTCAAACCCCTCCTGAAATTCAGGTTTTATATAGTAAAATTGGTAAATAGATTGTATAATGTTATTATTGACCACCATACATTTTTGCAAAAAATAATTTTGTATTTTATAAACATTACCTAAACAAGGTTAACTTAATCTAATTTAATCCTAAATTAATCTAAGCTGTAAGGGGATATCTTCTATTTTTCATTTTTAAAAAACATCAACTGCATCATCTAAATTGATTTTTATATCAATATCACTTTCAACAGCTATAACCTACAAATCACTCAGCCGATCATTACCCATTGCCAAACATAGATAGGTTTTAATTAATTTAAAGGAAGAAAAAAAACGTTAATTGGAAGCAGTTGTTACAGGCAAAGTTAAAAGAATATTTACATCATAGGTATATTATATTTTGTTTATTATTTCCGTTTTGAAGATGTTGGATCTGTAGTATTACTTGCCTCTCCTCGGCCCACAGTGATAAGTATTCCTACATCTAACAATTTCGTTTTTATATAATACGTAACAAAAATTACAATTTTGTATCTAATATTCAAATGTTTACTTTTAAAGTTTTTGGAATTGGAAATTATAGGTAGGTGCCTACAGATAAACATTTTAAACTTCAAAAATTATTAGAATTTAGGTACTGGTGATGTAGTGCTATAAATCCACAGGCTAATTTACATCACTATTCTAGGTATTGTGTATAGAATATAAATGTTATAGTTTATAATTTAATGGATACTTACAGTCAATGTTGATCCACAACTTTTGCACTTTGATTTTTCAATATTTTGTCATACGTGAAACAACCATACCCAGAATTCTGCGTATGGTGAGCCATAATTATTTTAATATTAAATAATACAATAATTTAATAATTAATACAAAAATTCAAAATATGACAATACGTGGCATAAACGATGACCGTTAGCACTTGTAGTCGCCAGCAGAATACGGAAAATTCAATAAGAGTAGGTAGTATTATGTGAATAATATAATAATAAATTGAATAATGTGTATCCAGTAATGTGGCCTATTGCAGTGGCGGACTCAGCAATTTGCCGCTTACAAGCAGAATATTTGCCGCCGTTTCATTTTAAAGTTTCTTTTTAAAACAAAATACATATAGAAATATACTGTTAGTTAAATTATTCTTTATTATTTTAAATATAATACAATAATCAAATATTATATCATTTTCATTTGGCTTTTGAAGTTAGCGAATGTATCGATTAGGTCTTGAAAGTCAATTGTCGACACTAATTCCTATTCAATGCACAGGAAAGCCTAACTATTTAACCGATTTTCGCCAATAGTAGATTTTAAATAAATTTTAGTTCTTTTGAGAAACAAAAACAATCTTTCTACCGAACAATTAGTAACCGCCATACAGGAGTATATTCTTAAATCGATGCTAACATTCGGAAATAGTTCTAAATTCTGATTTCTAAAAAATGTAAATAAACTTTGATTTTGTTGTTTGTTTTCTGTTGCATTTTGCATATAAGTTTTGAAATGTATACATTCTTGTGTAAATGTGTATTCATCAATGTCCGTTTCATAAAATTATTGTAGTTTTTTGGCTCCTTGGACAATATCATAGGTATCAATTGATTTCTTGTCTATGTTGATTAAAAATTTGAATTTATCGTAAATATTTGCATAGCCAGAATGTTTAGTCATAATTTATAGCTATGATTATATTTAAATAAACAGTTTCCGGGAAAAACAGATTCGCTAATAATAACAATTCTAGTTGATCGCATTCACCGAAACCATTTCAGTATTCACTGAGTTAATAACCTAATGGCTAATATTCATAAATTATAATATAGCTTTATAAATACATTTTTTTTCTTAAGTACGGCAAATTTGCCACTCCAATAAATTTGTCACTCCAATCACCTGATTACTTTGCCTGTAGAGTAATCCGACGCTGGCCTATTGCTTATTACCCACAAGACGCAAACAATCACTAATACCAGTAGGTATCTATACGATGTAAACGACACCCAGATCAACTTTTTTGGCACACCTTTCGTAGTCACTAACGGCTATAGCCTATAATCAGGGCTTGGTAAATATCGGGGCTATGTGCGAAATGTTTTTGTGGGGCCTATATGATGGTTGTTAGCGAATATTTATTTCTTTGTGTTCGGGCCATCAGAGATTTTAAGTTTGATTTTAAGTCTACTGATGAAACTGAATCATATAGACCAATATGGCCATATTGTTCAAGCTAAGATTAGTGTGATAATTGCTTTTGCACTTAAAATTATTTTTAGAGATAAATATATGAACAAAATACAATTATTAACATTATTAAATTTAATTTAATTTTTACATTGAATCGAAATTAGTACGTTCAAATTAAAGTAAATAAATATTTTATGATCGGACCGAACCGAGACCACTAGTGTGAATCGAGCTCAACTCTGCGCACATTTATCTTTTTTACAACTCGTTTGCGCAAAAATGCACAATTCGATTGCGCACATATATTTTGTCTACCTGTGACGAAAATCTCCAGAGTCAGAACTCGTTTGCTTTATTATCATTGATTATTATATTCCTCACGATTATGAGAGTTTATTATTTTTATTATTTTGTTTGAATTATTAACAATAACACTCGCAGGACATTTTTTATTAATGCATCTAAAATTTAAACATCCACTCATTAAAACACGGTATTCACTAAATTTATAATTATCAATATTAAAACATCGTGTTCCTCACCGAGATTCAAAAATATTAAAAATGTCTACGCCATATTAAAGTTTACGTCGTCAACATACTAGTCACCACTGTACCGTCCATATCCATAGTCCATACCTACGGAAGTTTACTAAAAGTTGTTTGGAAAATTCAAATTTATATAATCTACAGTCAACATAGTTGATTATAAGATAATATTTAAGATAATATATATGATAATTTGTACTGCAGACTGTCACGATATTTGTATACACGTGTCATGTGTGTGAATGTGTCGTCAATTTTCAGTTAAAAAATTTTGAATGTGCGCAAATGAGTTGCAGCGCCGGTTTACAATTACACAACGTTCCCGGTTCTATAACCGATTATTTTCGGTCCGGTTACAGTCCCTAGTCCAAATCCGTTCCACTTGGAATGAAAGTAAAGCGATTGTATGCGTCTGTTTACTATAAAACTTGACTGTATACTTATAGTGGAACGTATTACAAGCATGAGCTATTTAAGCGCGTAAATGTTCAATCAGAACGCACCCTATGTGCAATGTGAACAAGGAATATAACATATGTTCTTGCATAATACAATTTTTTTTTGACGTTATGCTGTACATCTCGTTTGTGTACAATTCCAAGATAACTCCATATTATTTCTTATAAAAATTTGATAACAACAATGATAAGATAAAAGATTTGTAATTTTTTTGTTTTGCCATTCGTCACAATTAAAGCCTAAACTCGTGGAAAAAAAACTCGAGATTTTTAGGCGTTCGTAGAGAAAAATTATTTTTGAAAAGTGAAGGCGTACAAAACTTAACGAACCGCGCAACTTTAAACAATTTCGAGTGTGCACACATTTCTCAAACAATAGTCGTACCAATTCCTTTTTTTCATATAATAACATTTTATAATCGCAAGCAACTACAGTCGATATGTTTACATAGGAACTACATATGGTGACTATATCTTTGAAAACGTGGAAAATATTGAGAAACTACATTATGCAACACAAATTCTTTCTATGGTCATAACAAATGGACGAAAGGGTGAGCATCCGTGATAATACAAAACCTCTAAGGAAATATGGCAGTATAAGCAGCAATACAAATTTTGTCCGCAATGAGAACTATATCAAACATGTTGTCACAGAGACTGACACATTGCAAGGGCTTGCACTTAAATACAGTGTGACGGTAAATGTATTAGATTTTTTTACTTTTCTTATATTTTTTGCTATCATCTTTTTATGTTTAATTTTTTTATTTATATGCTATTGAATTGCCCTTTTAGACTGAACAAATACGAAATGCTAACCGACTCTTTACTAATGATAGTTTATTTCTAAGAGAACATCTATATATACCAACTTGCGATACCAATGCTTCTGGAAGAGACAACTTCCATAATGTTAAACGATTAAAACCGTCAAATATATCACCAATTGAAGAGCACAATATTGATGACTGTAATAATTTCCTAAATAAAATAGATAATAAAATTGCCAGTACAAGAGCTCAAGTTATTGATAGTCAAGACAGAAGTGTGTAAGTTATTTTACATGATTATTAAGTGTAATACAAATTATAATTTTAAATTGATAAATCTATTAATAATTTTACTCTTGCTGAATCAAAATAACTTCATTTAATTAGTTATTCTATTATTATTACGATGTATATAATTAAGTAAAATATAAAATAATTATTTTTTAAACTTATAAAAATCAATCTTGATTAAATTATTTATTAAATATTATATAAATAACACAAAAAAATTGATTGTTACAAGTTAGACTGGGATTATATAATTATAGTTTTTCCTTGGGTTCTTTAAAATATAGCTTTCAAATAAAAAATATTAAAAAACTTACTATACATTTTTTACAACTAAAGACATTTTTAATCTTTTACTAGTTTTGCTATGGTGAAAAAAACAAAATTTATTCCTTATATGTATCTTTTAAATTTAGTTAGTATGAAATAAAAGAAAAATTCAATATTTTTATTTGTGTATCTTATGAAATATTTTTTTATTGGTCTTATCTTTTACTTACCTTTTGTAATAGTATTTGAGATTTTAACTCCTAAGTTCCACGAGAAAAAAAAAGTACATTTGATTAGTATAATACTTAAATTTTTTAGAGAGGATCAATAAAAGTTCTAGATATATTTAAAATACATTTTTGTCACCTAAATATTTAGTTTTTGCACATTGTTATTATTTAATTTATAATTATAAATACATGTGATTATTTAGTGACAAATTTCTGAAATTATCTTTATTATATAAATATAATATATATATATATATATATATATATTATATATTATATAATTGATAAAAATTTATAATCTTACAAATTTTGTTTGCATCAAATTTATACATTTTATTGACTTACATTATTTATGTATATTAATATTAATTACATTGGCTACCAGACCACTAGTTATTTGTTAATATTTTCTTTACATATAGTTTACAGTTAAGTTTACATTAAGTTTGATTGGAGGTTGAGTTAAAGAGCTTTCTTAATAGTGAGGTGTATTTGATGTTTGTATTTTGAGTCCTTAAACTTGTGGCATTCAGTTAAAATGTTTCATTATATTATGAATTAAGTAATAAATTAAAATTGATAACATATTTTATTAAATAATAACCTCTTTTCGAATTACATAAAAATTTTAATTGCGTAAATTATATATGAAACATAAAAGGAAATATAGTATCATCATTTTTCATTGTGTATTTCTATACATAATCTCATAAAAAATTATGATTTCCCTTTATTTTTTTATTTAATTTATGGCAAATAATTAAAGATTGATAAATCTTTTATTATAATTAAAAATTAAACAAAATAAAACAATTATATTTATTATAAATATTAATTTCTTTAATTTTAAAACTATAAATTCAATATTGTATATATATATGTGTGTGTGTGTGTGTGTGTATTTATATACATAATATTATTTGATTATTTATTTTGTTTAATAAAGGTACTGCCCCGAAGAACAGGTTTTATTTACACGCCAACGATTGTCAAATCGTAGAATACAGGGTTCTTCACTAAATGCAGATGATATACCAATAATTGTATCCCAGAACAAAAAGTTGATGAGTTCTCGACAGCGACTTGAACAAGAAGAAGAAAAAGAAATGTTTTCACTGTGATAATTATTAATAAGTATTACATAACTTGCCAATATATGTTGAATTTTATAGTTATTATTATAATTTTATTTTACTCAAGATTATGATTTATTGGTGTGACTTATGTAACTATTATAAAATTGTGTACTTAACATTACTTGTTTCTACAACAAATTATCACAATCAACTTTCAATCTTAGGTTGTGGACTTGTGGTTAAGCTTTATGTTTTAAATACATTTATTTTTGTCTCTCTAAATGTAACAAATGCTATTATTTAGTTCTATTTTATTGTTATAATGTCAAATATTTTTGATCAATAAATATATAAATGTTCTCTGTTAATTTTTTGATATAAAATATATATTTTAGAGCATTATCATGGTGAATTTTTTTTTTAACAACAACATTATTTTATATTATATTAAGTATAATAATGAAATTTAAATTTTATTATTTTTAATTATTTTTATTATTAATTATTATTTAAATAATAAGAACCCTCAAAAATATATCCACTACAAATTTTGTAATAAGTAGGTGATTTTGCTCTAAGATCATTCAAAAAATCATAAAAAAGGATTTTTGGCAAAAGTGTTTTATTGCTATGTTATGTTTGGATCTGAGAGAGTAAACAAATATAATTGCGCTTACATCTGCTTAAGCAAATTGTGTAGTGTTGTTCCATTAATAATTGTTAGGTACCTAAATTATATAATATGCGCAAAATATCTATTGGGTATACCAAAATATTCATATTATATATAATGTATTTACAATTTTGTGTTGTTGGTAGGAACATCATTTTTTGTATACAATATGTAATAATAATTATTCAGTTGCATATACAATAGGCATAAGCCCAAAAGTACAGAAAGTTAATAAATTAAAACAATATATTACAGTAGAATTACTACATTAAATACAATAAGTATCTCACATATAGGTACAAAATTTACAATAAGAATCTTAAAAATAGTATTATGTTATTATTCAATATATTTTTTTACCTACCTATAGCTATACGATATTATATAAAGTTAATAATTGTTAATGCATTTAAATAATATATATTATTATAGGTATATATATTTTTGTATAACCTTATTATATAGGTTTTTTAATAATAATTAATAATTATATAGATTGGTCACATAGGTAGGTAGGTATACATTTTTTTCTATTTATATGATATTACTGCATAGATATGTTATTTATTTACTGAGATATGTAATAATTCATTGTTTTCATTATGCATTAGCTATGTTTTTTATGGATTCTGAGTAAGTCAATATTCCCATGGATAGGTTACTTAATTAAACTATGACAGATAACAAATAAATATAATGATATACCTACTGAAATAGTCGCAAATAATTATTATACTTTATATCTTGTATATCTATACTATGTCAATTTTTATTTTTATTTTTCAGATATTCATTTTGCTAATTTGTAGAATTATATAGACTTTAATAAATACAATTATTTACAAATAAACTAAATAATGTTTAAAATTTTTCAGTTATAACTTAAAAAAAAATGATTAAAACTACTAGTTAAAGAATGAAATATAGACGATTGCAAAAAGAATTGCAAATTCTAGAATGGTCATCTATAAATGAAATCCCTGAAAGTTGTCTTGTCGAAAAAACTATATCATTTTCACAAGATGTTGATAATAAATCAATTCATAGTTCTACCAGTAGTTTATTTGAATATAACAATAATATTATAAACACACATTTTTTTAAATCATGTGATAATAATTTAAATCAAGATTATTTGAGTAATATAATTTGTACTCATAATGACAATGCAGATTAAAATTCAATATTGATTCCTCTTACACAAAGTTTAGTATACAGTGAAAATATTAAAAATAAATTAAAAATGTGAATGGTAAATTTCAATGTTCCCTAAAATGCTTCTAATGCATTATTGAAAATATTGAAAAATGATGCCAATCTTAATTTTCTTCCTGTTGATAGCCGTACATTACTTCAATCTGGATCAAAGAAAGTTATTAATGTCCAAGAAATAGAATTGAATGGCATATATTATCATTTTGGGTTAGAAACTGGCATTATTATGTGTTCTAAGATATTTTCCCTGGATGATATTATAAGTATTGTGATCGGAATTGACGGTCTACCTTTATGCAAGAGTAGTTCAAGCCAATTTTGGCTTATATTTTTCCTTATAATAATAATATTTTTCCTATTGGAATATTCTATGGCCACAATAAACCTCAAAATAGTATCATATTTATTAAAGATTTTGTTGTAGAAATGCTTAAACTATCTACCCACGGAATAATAATAAATAATATTATTAAAAAAGTAATTATAAAAGCTATTCGCTGTGATGCTCCTGCCAGATCATTCTTGATGAGAAATAAGGGACATGCTGGTTATTTTTCATGTTCAAGGTGTGTTATTGATAGAGAATATTTAGAGAATCGTGTCTGTTTTCTATTTATTGATAACTGAAAAAAGAACTCATCATGATTACATAATAATGAAAGACGAAGATCATCATACATCTTCAATAATTTCATCCCTTGTCTTACTCCCTGACTTTGATATAGTTGATATATTCTCTTTGGATTATATACACTTGGTGTGCTTGGGAGTTGTGCGGAAGTTAACTATTCTTTGGCAACACAAGGGACCAATGACTGTTCGGTTGCCTAGTTGGAAAATTAGAAAAATTACAAATTCTCTTTTAACACTAAAAACTTATATAACTAATGGTTTTCGTAGAAAACCAAGAGCAATAGAAGATGTAGCTCGTTGGAAGGCTACTGAATTCCAGCAGTTTTTATTATATACCGGACTAGTAGTTTTAAAAAACATTTTATCTAAAGACTGTTATGAAAATTGTATGGCTTTAAGTATTGCAATGAGAATACTTTTAAGCCCTAACTATAAACAATATGTTGAGTATGCTCGCAAACTTCTAGTTTATTTTGTTAAATCATTTGAACAAATCTATGGAAGTCAATTTATGTCATACAATTTTCATATCATAATTCATTTAACTGATGATTTTATTAAATTTAGGCCGATTGTTGTAGTGCATTCCCTTTTGAAAATTATATGAAGGATTTGAAAAATATGCTCCATAAACATGAAAAACCTTTCCAACAAGTTGTTCGACGTTATGAGGAAAAATGTATAAGTGGAAACATAACATAATAATATCAAAAAAGTTAAATTTACTACCAAAGAGCCAAATTGTTATTTTTCAATTCAAAGTGGTGAAATAGTAAAAATAACTGAAATTGTATTACCAACAACTTCCAACAATACAATTTTTATTGGTAACATTTTTTTAAACCAGGAAGAAATGTTCATTTACCCTTTAAAATCATCAAAGCTCAACATTTATAATGTAAATAATCTTTCTCAAAATGTATATAAATGGGATTTATCTGATATTAAAATGAAAATGATGATTTTTCATTTTGAGGGTATAGTTACGGTTATACCAATTATTCATTCTTAATTAATGTAGTGAGTATGATGTAAAAAGTTGGCCTCTATGCATTTTGTGTTTATTTTTGTTTTATACTTTTATTGTTATAGGTATATAATAGCATTATAATAAATAATAATAATAGGTAGTTTAAAAAAATTTAAATATTTATTACTTAGCTCTTTATGTATTCAATATAGAGATACAATAATGAATGATAAGTAAAACAAAAAAAAAAAATTCAGCAATGATCGAGGCAACGATTATACATCTCATGTTTTATTATTTCCTCCAACATTAAAAGAATTTGAAGGTAAGGAAAAATACACTAGTATAAAAATTTGTACTATATTAAGTGAATGGAGGAAGACTGGAATTCCACTCCGGGCGTAAACTTTTATTTTTTTTTTTTTTTTTTATTAATAATAAAAAGACAATCTATACACATAATCTGCACAATAAGTCATTATGCTAATAGTTTGAATGAACATAACATGATTCACATTTGCCATGTAGATCTCGCATTTCTTTTTTTGTTTAAAAGGAGTCGTAAGTTGAAAGGGAGAATGTTTTGGGGTTGTGAATTGACGGGGGTAGGTTTAGTTGAGAAAATAGCTGCTTTTTTTATTATTTCAACTAAGTTTTGTGCTGCATTTTCGACTTGGTCTTGTGTTTTAAGTGAAACTCTAAGATCTATTAAATTGTCAAGATTAGTTTTGAATAAATCCCAAGCGATGGGTCCTTTGGTGAGTGAGGGCCGAACATTTTGTTTAGGTGATCCATCAATTGAGAGAATTACGGGGGTGTGGTCACTGGAGATATGACAGATATTACTGATATCTGTATTTAGATTGTTTGGGATATTTGTTATGAAGAAGTCGAGTATATCTGGGTTACGGTTTGAATGTGAGGGCCAGTAGGTGGGTCCAAGTGGGGACACAAACGACTGATTACAATTATTAAGGACAGAGTGGAGTGTTTTTCCTCTTTGGTTATTGGAGATACAGCCCCATTGGGAGTGCTTAGCATTGAAGTCACCCCCTGCTATGAAATTATGGCCTAGAGTATTGAAGAGACGGAGGAATGTGTCGCGTTGGATGGCATGACGAGGTGGGCAATATATGGAAGATACTTGTATTGGGATACTATTTATTTTTATTAAAATACTAGTTGCTTGAATAGAGGACTCTTGGAAAGAGGTTAATATATTATGTTGGATGGAGTTGGATACTAAAATACAGGAACCTGCATGTGCTGTTCCATCTGGATGATTTGTTTTATAAAGGGTGTAATTGTAGATACTAAATTTGGTTTTTTCAGTGAAATGAGTTTCTGTTATTAGCGCAATATCTATTTTTAAATCATTTAATACGATTTGAAGTTCATTTTTGTGTTTTGGAAGACCATTTGCATTCCACAGTAAGATTTTTAGCGGAGAAGATTCATTTGGTTGATTGTTAGTCATTTTTTAGGATGATTTTGTTAATAACTGTAGTTAGTAGTGATATTAGGGGATTGATAACTGATTTAAGATCTGATATGAAGAGTGAAAAATGTTTTGTTAAATCATTGATGTTAGTAGCAGTATCATTATTATGTTTGGGGGTGTCATTTTGGTTCGTATTTTTTAAAACATCTGCATAGTTTGCATTGAGATCGGTCTTATTAGAACAATTTGGGGAAGGGTCGTTACCAGTAAGGACTTGAACATTATTTTTTTTATAAAGTGTTATATTTGATTTTTGTGTATGGCTTGGTTTATTAATTAGTTTTGAGTTGGTATTTTTTTGCTGTTGGTAACTTTTGTAAGCTGGGCATCCTCGATAGTTGGCTGGATGGGGTCCTCCGCATAATGTACATTTAGGTGGCTCATCTTTGGGTTTGGGACATTCATTCGTCAAGTGAGAACCGTCACATTTTATGCAGCGAGTCTGGTAGTTACAATAGTGCTTTGTGTGTCCGAAGTTTTGGCACCTATGACATTGCGTTAATTGTTTTTTCAGGCGAGGTTCCTCAAATTTGACTACTGAGTGGCAAATTAAGTTTATTTTGAATATGTCGTTATTATTTGATTCGGGTTCGAGATCTACGAAGAAGAGAGGAAGCGGTTTTTTGTTTGGTTCTGCAGAACGTTTGTAACTTGCTTAACTTTGAAACCATACTTTGACAATTCGTCTTTAATAAAGTCAAGGGGAGTAGACTGATGTAAATTACGGAGTACTACTCGGAATGCTTTTTCGTCTTTGATTTGGTAGGTGTGGAAATTGACTTCTTTCGATTTTAGTAATTGGACAGCTTTTCTGAAGGTATCAGATGTATTAAATTGTAGTTTGATTCCTGATGTGTTACTCTTGCAAGTAAAATCATCAGTGTCGCAATAAAGTTTAATTGCAGTGCAAAATTTAAGAAAATCGACATCGGATTTTATAAAAATAGGTGGTGGTTTGTGGATTATAGGTTCGGTTGGTTCGGTCGTTTCCATATTATGATCATCTTCGATGTCGAGATTAGCGTATCAATTCGGTGTTGTGAAAAAGCTTCCTATGCTTGGGTGTTTATTTAATGGAGATAGTCCAGGTGATTTAGTTGAAGGTCTTTTATTATTTTTAGGTGTAGCGATTACCCAGTCTGTATCACAAAGTGTGTTTTCGGTTATTGACGGATTGAGATTAGAGTTTGTTTGATTGCGCTTGGTTATAATGATTGGCGTAATGAGCTCATTAGTGGTTTTAGATAACGGCCGAGCCGGCGATGTCGGTGGTGACTGAGTTTTTTTTTTTTTAACATTTTGTTGTTGGGAGTTTATTATTAGTGAATAATAACTTACCCAGATCCCGAAGGATCGAGAGACTGTAGACGTTCTTGAAAAATAGTTTTATCAAAAAGAGATGTGTTAAACGAAAAAGAAACAATGAGAAAAAGTGTAAACTTTTATTAAATGTAATTTTTGTAGTACATAATCTATTGACTACTCGTTGGATATTCCTAACTTTGTTACTGATAATGTGTTTAAAACTTAATAATTATGATTTTATTCTAATTATTAGAAAATAATTGTAAGATAGGGTGTTTGATTCTTGGTCTATGATTGGACGTGATTTTAACATTTTCCCCGGGCGTAAAGTTCGTGGTTCCGTCTCTGATATGATGAGTTATAATTAATTATTAACATAACCTACGAGTAACTGCTGGTAGTTATCATAAATAATAGAATAACTCTATCATCTATAGTAGTTCCACAGAACTTATTCTGTGGTAGAATTCTATAACAGCGGTTCTTAACCTGTGGTCCGCGATACTCATGTCGGGAGTCTGCGGCAGCCCTAACACATGTATGAGTGAATTATTACAATATTTTTGAATTATTATTATTATTATTTTTCTCGTGGATTTTTTATTATATAATAGATAGATTTTATCTTTATACGATGTTCAAAAATCGCATTAAACTTATAAAAATTAAATTTTAAGCATATTAAAAAAAAAATAATAATTAAATTTAAATTAACTGAAAATGTAGGTGTAATTAAAACAATTATAAATATGTATGTTTTGTTATGTCTACTAATGTAATTTATTATATAAAATAATTATTATAATTTTGGTTTTAATAACATGAAATGTTTTGTAAAAAAAAATGTATTCGAAAAAAAATTGGTAAGGGGGTCCGCAAATTCTAAAAATCTTTCATCAGGGGTCCGTGATCTATAAAAGGTTAAGAACTGCTGTTTTATAACCATCTCAATAACTGATAAAGTGATATCAGGCGTTAAGCGTTACTAATGAAACACCATACATAATTAAGACCCTGCGGTTCTGATTTAATTGAACTTAAAATATTTTATTAATAGAAATTATAAGACTCAACATTTATTTTGCCTAGGGCCTCGCAAACTCTAGCATCGTCACTGATGGATAGTATGGTCACAGACTATGAAAATATTATATAAATATTATTTTATTATATTATATTTATAATAAATTTTCAGTGATGGTGCTAGAGTTCACGAGGCCCTAGGCAAAATAAATTTTGAGTTTTATAATTTCTATTAATAAAATATTTTAAGTTCTGTTAAATCAGAACCGCAGGGCCTTAATTATAATTTAAGGCGCGGGGCCCTGGGCAACTGCCCCTATTGCCCTTCCCTCGCGCCGTCCCTGCTTACTATATCATTAGTACATAGTAAAATAATTATTTTATATACACGATTTTCAAATACTAGTAGTTCAAGTACCACTAGTACCAGTAGTCAGTACCACACACATTATGGCTCGATTAAACCAAATAAGTTTTGGTTTGTATCATTGATTTTATAATGTATTATAAAATCAATGGTTTGTATAAAGAATCAGTACCAACACCATTTTTTTGCTCTTATTGATTTTTCCAATTTCCTGTCTGTAGTCGTCACGAATTGATTTAATTTCAAGACGCAATTGATCACCGTCCACAACAAGTCCGATATTAGGTACTTAAATTATTTTTAAGTTTTTCAAAATTACTGTTTTTCAAGTTTCTATTTAAATAATCTTTATTTTAATGTTCCATAATATTGAAAATTGTTCGAATAATTCGAGGAATTGGAAAATATCATCATTGTTCCACTTCGCTTTAAAACAGGGGCGTAATTTCAACTTTTGAAAGGATGTGGAAACTGATTAAATTTGCCAATTTCATAATATTTAAAAAATTATGGTTACCTATTTATTTAAATATTTAATTTTTATGGACGATAGACCAAGGGCGTATTTAGACTTACTTCTAAGACTGGGGGGCAATTCAATTTTTTTATTTAATTCAGGTTCAACATTTACAAGTAAAATTTTTGGTAATATTTAAATCTGGTGAATCCTTCATATTAGTGGTTATGGTTATAGAATCGACTTTTATGTAGTTATTTTTTAACATTTGTCTATGTTTTGAAAGTTACGCTTGTATTTTATTTGATTTTTCACCAAGTATGGACCCGACAAAAAGACCAATTCAGTATTAACAGCCACGCGTAATTTGACCAAAAATAAAGTTTATAAAGTTTGCATAATAACGATTATCATAAACCGCGGAGGAACCAGTGTTTCCCAACTTTTAATAAATCGTGATCATGTATTTAAAAAAGAATAAAGAAATAAAAAATAATATAAATACAAATATTAAAAATATAAAAGAATAAAGCTTACTCGACGTTTTACCCCAAGACTGTTAATTCTCAATTTACAAATGAATATAATATTAATAATAATAATAATATAGTGTTCGTAACAAGGGGTTCATAATAATACTAACGACTTTTTTTTCTGAAAAATTATAATTATAATTCTTGGAATTTTAATGATAAACTATTTGAACAATTGTATCACTCATAAAATTATTAAATACCATTCAGGTACTCAATCATTATCTAAAATTGTATATTGCACATAAAATATATATAATTATTTACATATATATATATAATATTATCATCACAGATTAGATCTTAGTTCATTGTCTTAATATATATATATATATATATATATATATTATCTTAGAATTATGTTAAATGTAATCAGACAATTCAGTGATATCTCAGAATTTCATATTTGGGTTCTATAAAAACTTATTGTATTATATTACATTATATTATTATAGTAATAATATAATTTTAGTTTAGTGATAAGAACATGGCTACATTTAATGTAATCTGTGGATTTACGGCTGCTAATATTATTCTATGATCATTGGTTTTCACAGGTTTCGAAAATGCATTGATGAAAATAAATAATTGTGTAAATATTTCATACTATTGTATTAGTTTTTAATGCATTTTTCTTGAAATTGTTTTATAATTTGCTCTAAAGTTGAATATTAGTAAATATTAAAAGTTTATTTTTTTATTCTGATTATGCAATCTATACAAGTTAGTAGTTAGAGGATTAGGGTGATATCGATTAACAATTCACCGTTAAATTTAATTTTAATATATTTTTACCATTTTTATTTTTTACAAATACTACTTCCTTACCAAACCTTTGGACTGATTTTAATTTGAATCCTATTTAGATTCTATAACTAAGAAAATACTTTCATTGTTTGAAAACGATCCTACATCATTATATCTACAAGTCCATTGTAGTCTAATATCATCTAATCATATGTACATTAATGTAAGTATTTTTATATTCATTAACTTAATATAGTTTTTAAGTTTACTTATTAAGCTTTTATTGAATTATTCTATAACAATGTTTGTTCTATATGAAAATTTTACTTTTAGCATTAATATAACTCATATTAAAATAAAATTGATATAATATATTTTGATATTGTATGAACCTATACATTTAAATCTTATATATTATATTTAATGCTACACATCCTTACTTTAAATTATACCTTATTAACTTCTTAATAGAAAAAACAAAGAGATAAAAGATAGGTTTGTGCATTGAAATTATATTTATCAAATACTAAATTTTCTTTAATATTTTAAATAATATGCTATGCTTCAGTGGCGCACTCAAGGGGGGGGGCTTTGGGACTGTAGTCCCCCAAAAAATATGTTTTACATTAAATTATACATTATATCATATCGTCACAAGTATAGTATTACAATGATAGGTATGAAAGGTAAATTTTTTTTCAAGTTTTATTATTATGGTAGTTATAAATTAATAGAAAATTAATGGCAATTGTTTACTTGTGTATAAGGAATGTAAGAAAATGTTTAAGCCCTCCCCCCAAACAAAAATCCTGGGTGCGCGCCTGCTATGCTTCTTTTAATCTAAATATCATTATGTTTTTCATATCAACAGTATTACTTAGTTGTTAACCCAGTATTATTCGCGTTATAGTCGAAATGACCATACTTTTTTTTTGGTCTTTAATAAAACATTTACATTTTATATTTTTATCATTGACGCATTCAGTATACCTTTTAAAAATGTTATTGATTGTATATTATTGACTCATATTATATGAGTATCAATAATTGAAGTATAAATGTAAATGTTCTATTAAAGGTGTAAAAGAAGTGCAGTCATTTTTACCATAGCGCGACTAGTGGCAGGTTAAGATCAATATCCAATTATAAATTTAAGATATTTATTCAATTTTTCATAATATTATTGATTAATTTTTTTTAGTATTATTTTTCATATGTATTATTTTATAAATCTTTTAAAATTCAAATAGCATTGCTAAATTTATGACTTTATTACTTATGTTTAATTATGTAGAATTGTAAGGGTATCATATGTTGATTTATTATTGTATAATTTGTATCCATAAATGGAACTTGATAATTTGAAAAAATTATATAATTTACATTTTTAATTTGATTTACAGTTATTGATGTCTACATCAAAATACTTTGCACAAGAATCTCATCAAAACAAAGTCGAAATAGATTTGGTTGATAATTTTTTACGCCTTGAAAATGATCTTATATCTCAGTTAAACGGTTTGAGTTATGGTCCAGATGTTGAATTTATTTACAATCCAATACAGTATGCTTATAACCTTCACAAGGCATTTTTAAAAAAGTTTTTAGTAACACATAAGAAAGTATTGTTCTTAGGGATCAATCCAGGACCCTGGGGAATGTGTCAAACTGGAGTAAATGTTTATCATTTAATTCCTTCTTTGTTTAAAGATTGAATAAACAATACTTTGTGGTTGTTTTTTAGATACCATTCGGTGAAGTAAATATTGTGAAAAGTTATTTAAAAGTGGATGGAGAAGTATTACCTCCAGATAATTGTCATCCACAAAGACCAGTTAATGGTCTAAACTGCACTAGAAGTGAAGTGAGCGGTAAAAGGTTATGGAATCTTTTTATTACGCTCAGTAAAGGCGATCCATACATCTTTTTTAAATATTGCTTTATTCATAACTATTTTCCCTTGGCATTAATGAATAAAAATGCTAAAAATATCACACCAAGCGATTTAAAGGTAATATGAATCCTACACTATATTTTTATTATTTTTAGTGTTAAATTCATAATTATATTTAATAAAGTATTAATTCATTAGAGTATATATCAAAAAAAGGTACAAGATATCTGTGATAAATCATTAAATGATGTAATTACCTTACTTGGAATTGATATTATTGTAGCTATTGGAAATTATGCTGAAAAAAAGGTCTAATGAAGTAATTAAAAAATATAAGTTAAACAAAATTAAGGTAAAAATACAATTTATTTTATATTAGCTTAAGAAAATTAAAACTAACTAAATAATTATTAATTTAGGTTATAAAAATTCCTCATCCAAGTCCTCGTAGTGTGGGTACTACTGAAAAATGGGAAAGTGATACTTTAAATCAATTAAATTCATTTGATATTATCAAGTTATTGAAATAAAAATGGATTGGAGCATATATATGAATAAATCATTAAATTTAGCCAAAGAAGCATTAAAAGCAGGAGAAGTACCTGTTGGTTGTATATTTGTTGATAATGATGGTAATATTTTAGCTTCCGGTCGTAACACAGTTAATGAAACTAAAAATGCAACTAGACATGCTGAAATAAATTGTATTGATATTATTATTGAAGATGGTTTATTAGAAAAACTGTCAACTATAACCGTCGTTGTTACAGTAGAACCTTGTATAATGTGTGCAGCAATGTTGACAAATATTGGATGTACTAAAATTATTTATGGTTGTGCTAATGACCGTTTTGGTGGTTGTGGTACTGTACTTATGGTGCCTGGATTAGAAAAACTTAAAGTTCAAGGTGATTTTTATGGAAATCAATCAATGGATTTACTGAAACAATTTTACAAAGGTCAAAATCCTAATGCTCCTAAGAATAAAGTTAAAAGAAAAGCAATAAAACTATAAAAGAAAAAATTAATTTGTTTTTATATTCATATATTTATTATAAGGTGAGTAATTTTTAGACATTTTTAAATTATTTACTATTTGTTCTAAGATGTACAATTTCTAAATTAAAGAGTTTTAATGATATATCTTTGTTTGATGTATATTTTACAATTTTTGTTTTGTTTAACATAATAAATCCATTTTCATTAAAAGAACCATCTATATGATTGATATTCAGCCAAACAAATAAAGCTATTCCTGTTGATTCCAGTTTGATATTAATTTCTTTCTCGTCTTCTTGCCAAATTTTAGAAACCTAAATAAGGGAAAAATATATTATATTAAAAAAATTATTTTTTTTATTATATAATATGAAAAGGACTATTTTGTCTCTTTTTTTAAGAGTAAATGAGACCACCTATTGTACTAGGATGGCACTGTTGAATGATTTCTCCTCATTTACTTCCCGAAGTTCCTCAACTTAGATTTTTATTATTTTGTTGGACAGTCATTTATGCATTTTAATATTCCACTTATAAGGCAAATAAAACTTATTCCCCAATCTTGTTTTTTTTTACAATAGTTTGTTGTTCAGTTTAAAATTGTAAAATTGCATTGTAAAAGTGTACTTCAAGATATTCTACTAAAATTACTTCAATAAAGGGGTTTTTTTGGTTGTACTAATAATGATATAAATACTTATACTTTATCTGCTAATTTTTTAGAATACCTTTACCTTTCAAATTATGTGTCCCAAATTAGTGTATTTATTAAAGTAATGTTTTTCAAACTATGAGGTGCGTTTCCCTAGGGAGACGCTAGCATTTATTAGGGAAGCACAAGGCAAATATTTATGTTGTATTTTCTCTATTATATATTTATTTTTAGATTGACAGTAATTCAATTTTAATAAAATAACAAAAAAATGTTATTTTATTTAGGTATGAGAGGCTTGTTAAAATGTTTTCATTTTGGTAAGGCATGAACCAAAATTGTTGGGAATTGCTGTATTAAAGTATATTAATTTATTTATCTAAAAGTAGTTATATCAATATTTGATGTATTTATATTAAGAAAAGTGTAATGTGTAATATTCTGTTTTTGCACACATTTGAATGTGTATAATATATACATAAACAATATGTACTAACTATTCTAAGGAAAAAGTAAATTCTAAATCCCCTTCTATACTTAAATCCATAGGTATATAGTAAAAAATAGTTGTTTTTTTTAATAATTATTTGCAGATAGTTGGTATAATATAAGGAATAGTTGTTATTCAGTATATAATTTATAGATTACAAATTATGGTTTCTAAATTAATTAATCAAGATTTATCATTAATTAGGTTTTATTTTTTTTGATTTATTATACCATATAACCTCATAATACTAATAATTTATTATTTATTGTATGTATTGTATTATCAAATGCTATATTTACAAACTAGTAAGTTAGTAATATAAATTTCATACTATAAGTGAATAGTAAGTTTTGATAAGTATTCACAATAAATTCACAATAATCTAAAATACTAACCAATATATTAGGCGACTTATAACCAATAATCTTGTTAAGTGATGAGGGGAACAAGTAGTTTGATGGAGAGGCCTCAGTCGTATTCAAATTATTATAATATAACTTTGTGTGCAAAAAACAAGATTGAATCTGTTGGGTTATATTTAGCCCACATTTATCTGTCATTGATTTTAACCAATTAAAATAATTTTTGTTCATAATTAACTGAGCTCCATTTTTTTTCTAAAATATATAAAAAAAAAAATTTAACTAGTACCAATATTAAAAATATTTATAATTAATAAGCAAGTACTAACCAATAATATAGTGTCTGATATATAAGTAGCAAGTGGTATATTGCTTTCCCAGCTATATATCTCTATTTTACAAATTACTTCCGAGTCGACTAACATATCAGAAACAAGATAAATGGTCAAATTATTTGATATTTCTAATTCTGGAACTACAATAATTGGTGAAAAAAAATCAATTGCACTATAGTGTAGCATTTTCCATCGTTGATCATAATCTAAGAACAAAAATTACATATTAAATTAGTATATAATAAAACAGTTGCTTAAATTATTAACTTAATATTAGTCATGAGAATATTTTAGGGGGGCGAAAGGGCGATTGCCCCCCCTGAATACGTGTCCCAGTCCATATTAGTGAAAAATCAAATAAAACACAAGCGTAACATTGAATACACAGACAGGTGTTAAAAAAGAATGACACAAAAGTCAATTCTAATCGGATCCGGCATAAGATTAAAAAAAAAAAAAAAAAAACCACAAATATTAAGGATTCATCTGATTTAAATATAACAAAAAATGTTACTTGTTCATTTTGAGCCTGAATTAAAGAAAAAATGCGAGTCCCTCCTCTAGAAGTAAGTCTAAATAGGCCCCTGATATAAAAGCCCAATTATTTACTTATATATTATTAATTTTTTTATCAATTTATAATATTTAATTAATTTTTACCAATTGATGACCAAGTAGGTGCTTGCCAAACATCATTTAGCTGCCAGTATAAAGCACCCATTGTTAAACCTCTGCCGTCTTTTAATAATGTGTTTCTATGTTTTCGATACCACTCGGTTTGTATTCTCATAGCTCTAGCTTGAACAATCTATAATATAATAATATTTATTGAAAACTAAAAGTTGGTTTTAATATTAAATACTTACTTGACTTAAGTATACATAATCACTAACAGTTGGTTTTAATGGGACAGGTAAATTAGATTCTATTTGATATAACATAAATCCATAGCCTAAAGGTAGATGTTGTCTATGAATTAGTGCGGGCGAGGGAAAATTAATTAAATCATTTTCATCTAGAGCATTTTGCAATGTTTGATAAGCAGGAAGAGACTGTAATCCATATTCTGATGCAAATCTAGTCCATGGAAAAAAAATTGAACTCCAACTATTTACTTCATAATTATAATAGTGGACTAAAAGAACAATATATTAATTATTACCTTAATATTTGATTAAAATAGAATATTTGTTACCATCTCCATATAAACCACTATATGGATTTTCTGCTATATAGTTTTCTTCTTCAGACTTTAATCCGTTTGTTGGACTCGACACCAAATAATATCTTGATTTATCCTCCTCTGATACTATTTTTTTTATTGTGTTGACATATAGTGCAATATAGTCAGAAGCAAAGAAAGAAAAATTGTTTCTTGTTCCGTACCAATTACCTCTCAATGCAGCTTCATTTTCATTATTACCTGCCCACAATACTATACTGGGATGATGTTGTAATCTTCTAATTTGTTGTTTTATTTCTATCCTTACTGTTTCTAAAAACTGTTCATTTGCTGGGTACATATTACAAGCAAACATCATATCTTGCCATATCATAATACCTAATTTGTCACAAATCTAGGAAGATAATTTAAGATTAATGGCATTTATTTATATATATAGTAAAGTATATATAATATATTACTTTATAAAAATCATCAGATTCATACACTCCGCCACCCCATATACGAATAGTATTCATATGAACTTTTTTCGCTGATGTTAATAAATAATTAATAACATCTTTATTATTCATTTTCTCTGGAAATATATTGGCTGGTATATAATTAGAACCTTTAGAAAATATTGCTACACCATTGATTTTAAAATAAAAAGATAACCCTGAAACAATAATTCCTTATTAAATTATATTCGAAATATACACTATATAGTATATTATACCCATATTTGGATATTTTTCGTCTATTGGTTCTTGAATAAGTTCTACTGTTCTAAATCCTATACAAATATTTTTTGATTGAATGTTATTTATAGTATTAAATTCTATACTTAAATTATACAATGGCTGTTCTCCGTATCCATTCGGCCACCAAGTATTTACATCAGCCTAAAATGTAAATTATATTATATAAGTTATAGGTAATTAAGTATCACGACATTCGGCTGACAACTATTGGGCAGACAGTACATAGGCCAACGAAATATAATAAAATACAATTTTTAATATTTTTACAATTTTATATTATTCATTAAGTTCTTATACTTATAGTTCTTATATCTGTGCTTATCGAATTCACTGTATAAGAAGTATATTGTGTAAACCCAATCGTTTTAAAAATATATTTATTAATTTAATAATTAAAAATGTTGAATAAATTATTTATTAAAAAATGAAGAAAATAGAAAAGAAAATTATAATTGTTATTGTAGGTGATAATCTGATAACTTAGAGGCAAGGCCGTAACTGGAAAAAAATTTCGGGAGGGGGTCCAACATTATTATTTAATAAAATTTATAGTTAATAAACTATATTCACCGCTAAAATGTTTATACTTTTGAAAATTTTGGGAGGGGGGTCGGACCTCTGTATCCACCCTCCCAGTTACGGCCATGCCTAGAGGGCTGCATCCGAATTGGACCCCGAATAATTTTAGGTACTACACTAGTATATACTACGACCTAGAGTACCTACTTAGTTGTTGCGAGTTTACGTAGAATACGAAAGATATAACAGTTATTGTAGTCATTCAATATTAACAAGTTTTTGTGGCATTTTGTTATAGTCGATCTATTAGCTTATACAGTAAATTTGATAAGCACAGATATAAGAACATAATGAATTATGTAAAATTATAAAAAATTTAAAAATTATATATTATTATATTTTGTCGACCTCATCTACTCATTCCCAATAAATTACAGTAGGTGACTTATACAAAGTCTTAATCTAGGTATATAAATATATCTAATACAGTATCTGTTTACATTTGCATAGAATTATACAAAATAAAAATCAAACTATTTTTATATATTTATCTATTTTAAGTCTACACAGACTACAGAAAATACTTATGTAATTTGTTCAAAACTAATTTTACTATATAATATATAAGTTTTATTTTTAAAATTCTTAGTACGTATTAAAAAAATTATGAGTTATCATTTTTTAAATGTTGTAAATTATGATTCGTAATATATACTTATACTAAATAAATGATTTAATTAGGGATTTGAGGCATAGTTATTAATTTAACCCCTAATAACATTAAAATTATTTATATTATATTTGAATAGGAAAACTAATTGAAAATATCACATTTTAACTATAAGTTTTAATGGTGTTATTAAAATAATTAAAAATAAAATAAAAATTAGTAATTGGTTAATACTCTTAAATTGGTAGGTATATAAATAACAAAAAAAATAGTTTATATATAGAAATAAATAAATAAATCGATAATTTTTTACAAATATAATACTCCAGGCTAAGCATATATTTATATATATATATATAAAATATTTTCTGTTAGTATTTTAAAATAATCAATTAAAAACATTGTTGAGTTACCGAAGGCACGTATAATTCAATCGCTGCGTGTGTTTCATTTTGAACGCATATACCATTACAACAATCTTGTTCATTACTTAAAATATTATGTTCAGTATTTAAAATTAATTTAACTTTAGCATCAGTAATACTTCCAAAGCATTTGACATATATATCTGTTTTTAATAACCAGTGTGAAGCATTTACTCTAATTGTATAGGTTTTAATACTCTCTAATAAATTATTTTGAAACATAACCAAACGTACGCTTTTCCTAAAACATTTACAAAACATCCATTAACATTCTGTTATAATTCTTATCCATATTTGCTTCCAATTAGTATACCATATTCCAATAGAGGGAAATGCAGGTCCCCAATCCCATCCGAATGAACTTTGCATTTTTCTTACGTAGTTGACATGACATTCGCCATTATATTCTTTTGGAACACAAAATGGTGGTATTTTATTTGATGAATTATTGAAATAAATGTTCGCCATACGTATAGACGACTTAATTATGACTTCTAGCACATTTTTTTCTTTCTAATATTATAAAATAAAAAATACACATATCAGGATAAAATACAAAAACCTACAACAATTTTAAGTAAATGTTACATACCTCAAGGTACTGCTCAACTGAAAAGGTGTACTTTACAAACATATTATTCGTTGAGCCAATTAGTTTTTTATTCAAATATATTTCACTAATTGTATCTATTCCATCAAAAATAATAAATTTCTTATTGAATAATTCCAAATTTGAATCAACTAAAAATATTTAAAATAGAATATGTATAATTAAGTAAATGGATCAAGCGGTATAAGGCATTTGTCTAAACACACAGTCATTGGTTTTAACCCATTATCAGTGGTTTCATTTTATGGATGGGACACCTGCGAGAAAAGAAACCACCAACTTACTACCGTTTCACTATAATAAAAACATCCAACGTTCAGTAGCCCTAACTTGTCACAGATGAATTTAAAAAAAAAAAAATACAATAAAATTGTCATAAATCGAATGTATACTTTCTACTTTTTAAATATTGGTAGTCAATACATATACGATTTTACTACTTTATTATCAATGATATAAAATTAATATGAGTTGAATAAATAGTTGAATTAATTATTAAAGAATATATTTAATATGTGCGTATTATTTTTTGATGATATATAAATTGAAACAATGGAAAAGTAAGCCATGCATTATACATCAGTAACGCGGGTGGCAGTCTATAAATATTATACTTTATACTACACAAGGTATTTAAAGAAACCTTATTTAACCTATCATGATCTTTGTGAGTTGTGGTTAACCTTTTTTTTTTCATTCATTTTGAATACTATAACCTAACTGTTATTGGAGAATTTTTTTTAACAACAGCAGTACAACATCAGCACTAATCAAAATCATAGGTACATATTGAAATTTTGTAATTTAAATAACAATGTATAACTCTTCAATATACACTTATATACTCAAACTATAATTCATAGATATGTAAATAGTATTAGGTAATACCGTCAAAACAAGTGTGTATTAAAAAAAAATTGATATTGTTTTATTATAGTGACTGAGAATATTAGTGTTTACAAATATTATCGTAATATATAGAATATATATATACCGTGTGTTCAATTTTAAAGGTAACAAGAAATATTTCGAACGCATGACCTTGCATTTAATTCGAGTTTTTTTTACAGGATACAGGACATATAAATGCATATGTTTTTGATAAATTCTAATTTTTAACTTTTTTTTTATCTGCGTATGCGCAGTAAAATTAAAATTTCTTAAATAAGAATCATCATTTTTGACAGTGGATTTGGATTGCTCTATTTTTTTTTGAGTAACTTTGATCTTTACAGTTTCTTGATATGTTCAAAATTGACATTTTTAATACAGTCGAAAGTTTTAAATTAGGTAATTCGTATTTATCACATATTTCAACGCATTTTCCAACAAGATGAGGATCCTACCCATAATACAATTTTTGTTCGAGAATACCTTAACCAAACTTTTGGCAATAAATGGATGGGTACATATGGTCCAGCACAATGGCTCGCTAGATCACCTAATATAACACCGTTTGATTATTTTTTATGGGGACATTTAAAAGCAGTAGTTTATGAAAATCCACCTATTAATCTTGATAATTTGAAAAATAAAATAAACATGGCGTGTAATGAACTCACCGAAGATCAAATAATAGCAGCTATACAAAGAGAACTACTTAGACGAATGGAAACATGCATTGAAAATAATGACAATAATTTTGAACAGTATATGGAATAATAAATTATTATTATTTTCTAATGATATTTGTTTATAAATTCAATGTTATAATAAATACACCTTGTAGTTTTAATAAAAATAAATTGTTATAATAATACCTGTAAATGTTTGATTAAGATACGTAGAGCGTTGAAATATGCGATAAATACGAATTACCTAATTTAAAACTTTCGACCGTCTTAAAAATGTCAATTTTGAGCATATCAAAAAACTGTAAAAATCAAAGTTGCTCAAAAAAATAGAGTAAACCAAATTCAGTGTCAAAAATGATGATTCTTATTTAAGAAATTTTTATTTTACTCGCATGCGTTGATAAAAAAAAAGTTAAAAATTAGAATTTATAAAAAACATATGTATTTATATGTCCTGTATCCTGTAAAAAAAACCCAAATCGAATTCAAGATCATGCATTCGAAATATCTCCTGTTACCTTTAAAATTGAACACACGGTATCGGTATGTATATATATATATTTATCTGGGTATGTAAACATATAGTTTTATAGCATAAATATTTCACACTAATTGTAATTATCAACTTGTAAAAAATATTTTGAACTTCCTAATTAACATTGATGAAAAAAAAAAAAAATTAAAATTAATTTAACCTAAATTTTAAATTCCAATAGTTTTTTAAAATAGTTTATATTTGCTTACCCATACCTACATTTTTTTTTTTTAGTAAAAGTACACTTATTAATTATTAAACAATACAAACTTAGAGGCCATTCCAGGAGCGTATTGATGGGGGAAACGATCGCTCTTCCCTGAATCCGTATTTAAAGAATCGATTATACGAGTACCTATATGAGACACACATTACAAATTTTTTTAATGTGGATCATTTTATAACGAAATCAAATTACGTATGGCTGTAAATACTGAATTTGGCTTTTTTCAAGTCTATACTTAGTGAAAAATCAAATAAAATACAAGCGTAACTTTCAAAACACAAATAGATGTTATAAAAGAACTACACAAAAGTCGATTTTAAGTGGATCCGACATTAGATTAAAAAAAACCACAAATATTAAGGATTCACCTAGTTTAAATACTACCAAAATTTGACTTGTAAATGTTGAGCCTGAATTTAAGAAGAAAATTGAGTTGCCTCCTCTTCCCATAGAAATAAGTCTAAATACGCCCTTGGGACATTCCAATATCTAAAATAACCATTTTACATTATTCTTAAATTAAATAATGCTATAGTTAAAAGCAGCGATTTCCAAAGTGTTCAATATTAAGGGTTCCGCAAGGTGTATATGAATATTGAGAACGGTAATTGTTGTAAATAATAATCAAGAACTTTCTTTAAAAGATTTTTTGGAGTATAGGTTTTACAATAAATAAATACAAATTGGGATCAAGTTGGAGTTAGAGACGTTGGGGTTCCATGAAATAAAAAGTATTTTCTAAGGGTTCCGTGATCGTAAAAGTTTGGGAACTGCTGGTTAAACGTATACAATTTATTTATTTCTACATACTTTTAATATCTAATATTCTAATATCTAATATCTAATGTTATCATAATAAAAGGGTTGCTCAAAATATTGGTGACATTATAGAGGGACCTCGGCCTCAAAAAGATTGTTAACTGCTGAACAAAACATTGTCTAACAAAAATCTAATATTTGTGATAACGATATATATTTTATACATCAAATATACATATATATGTTAAAATTAATAAATCGCGTTTAAATCATAAGTAAAACATGGTACCAAAACAGAAAAAAATAGCAATATAAAACCGAAATTCCTATAAATATACATCATGCAATTTTAGAATCGAAAACTTCAGTCTATTCTGCTTCTATTTTTATCTATATTCTATGAGAATAAGCAAATTCCATAAAATCTAAGCCTTGATTTCAACCAAGAAAAAACCAAAAATCACTTTTTAATCGTTCTTCGAAAGTAATGATTTATCATTGTTTCCCGTGAGGAATGAATTGACAAAAGGATCCAAACTATTTAGTTTTTAACCACTTATTACAGCATTTCTATTATAAATCCATATTTAATCTACGTATTAAACGTATTAAATATGTATTTTATATGTTTGTTGTAAATACGTTTATATTTTCTACCTAGAATCTTAAATAATTTCTTAAAAATTAGATATTTTTTACTGTAGCATTCATTTAAATATTAAATTACTATTATATTTTTAATAATAGGCTTACATTGTTATAAAATTCAAAAACTGTTTAGAATTTTGTAAATTTAAAGTTTACATATACCATCGTAAACACACAATGTGTGGATGTTACGTTACACAAGTAGTAATACAAATGGAATAATTATAAATTAGTAATAGTTTTACCAATTCTATATAGGTGCAGTTATTACAATAGTCAGTAAAATTAAGTCTTAATTATGTAAATTACAATAAATATATATAAAACACAAAAATTGTTCTCTTGAACTTCACTGAAGTACGAAATAAATCTTGTTCTGATATTTGGTGATTATTATTCATTGATTAATTCAGTAGCTGTGTTGACCGGCTACTCAAAATACGGGAAACTTGCTTTATTTATTAATTAATTTTTTTTTTAGGTACTTAAAAAGCTATAAATTTATGTACGATAATATTGACAATGTTTACAAGATGTCAAATCTGCCACGACGGCCTTATCGATGTGACATCGTTAGAAATTGGAAAACCCGGTCAACTATAAAATATATATTATTTTTAAAATGATAAAAAACGAGAAATCTAGTTCTTAACTTTAAATCAAGAATGGGAAAGGATTCTGTTCCTTGTTTGATAAAATGAACGTGAATGTAAACTTCCTTTTTTAAATGAACTTTCCAAGTATTTTTCATTACACCTATACAAAAATGTATTACATACAAAATAAATATATTTGAACGCACGGTAGTGCACCGGCCAAGTTCCAGCAATGCCAGTGTATCTTTACAAAAACTAATTCGCCCGGTTTTTCTAACCCATATATCTCTGTTGCCTCTTAAGATAAACTTTTTAAATTTAAAATACAGATTAATCTCAAGTAGCTTAGGATGCTGTAAGAAAATGAAGCCTCTTATTGTACAATTTCGAAATGGGAGGATTTCTAAATTTGAAATTTTGTTACTAACTTACTCACTCACTGATCATCAAAATTATAAGACACTTCCCGTATAGGTAGAAACGTAAAATTTGGCACAAAGGTAGGTTTTACAGTGTAACTAAAGGAAAAATCTAAAAATTGAATTATTTTCAAAATTAATGCTGTTTTAGAGAGTGTATTTCTAAACGTATGAAGTGGCACGCTTAACACGCATAAACGTTTTCTTTCTTTCAAACAGTGTTACAATATAGCAATAAAAAATTGTTTGTAGTTGACTTATATATATATATATATATTTATAAAACATAATAATGTTTTCGTACATTTATTTTATTCAAATAGAAAATATAATATAATTATTCAAATACAGAATATTTTAATAATATTCGTCGG